GGGGTAGGTGACAGAAAGCTCCCCCAAGGCAAATTCCAGATGTTTCAAATAAGCGTATTAGAAGTGCTTGCCAATTTATAGACATTAGAAACCAATATACCTAATTGATGTAAAATGCATGTGTACTGTTGTCTCAGTTTTATCATTGAAGCATAAAGACAAAATAAATCAGAGCTTTTAGATTTCTGGTATATTTAGTTTTAATATTTTGTACCCTACATCTTGTTGCATCTTACAAAGCAAATCAGAGTTCCATAAAACAAAACAGGGAGAGGAAAAACAGATGGGAGGAGTGGGCAGAAGCTAATATGACAGCTCACTTCTATTTGTGATCATGCTGAATGTTTTAAAAATATTTTTGTTCATAAGTATAACATTTATGTGGTTTATTAATAATTATCAATAATTCTGATAAATTAGTAAATAGTATTACTAGACAGTTACTTTTATTTGGCTAGTTTTAGCAGGTATAATAAAATGAAAATTTAGTAGAAGACATCTATTAAAATTAAATATATTGAACATGGCAACATCTTGTATTTTGTAATATTTAACCTGCACATTATTCATAGATATTTTTAATACTTTTTTTTAATGACAGATTAGCTTTTTTAAATCCACACTGGAGTCAGATATGCTTACAGAGCTCATTGCTTCATGAGAAAACCTGTTCCGTTTTTGAGGTGTTGGAGGTGGGATGAGATAGTAGAAGGAACAAGGGTTTTGAAATCAAGGAAACTTGTCTGAATCCCAGGCCCATCACTTATTAGCTGTGTAGTTTTGGACAAGCAGTAACTCAAGCTCTAATTCCTTTTCTATAAAATAGAATTAAAACAAATCTTCCAGAGTTGTTGCCAAGGCTTAATAAAGTATCGCATCTCAATTGCATTATTTAGCATAAAGAAGGAGCTTAGTTAATTCCTTCACCTAAATACTGTGAAAATTGCTAGAATTTACTGAATACTTACTGTAAGCCGAGGACTGTTTGTTGTAGGTACTTACTTAGCTCAGTTTTCACAACAACCTCTGAGATAAGTAAGTAGTGCTGTTATTTTCATTTTACTTCCACCCTCTGCAGTGATGCTGAATAAAACCTATTGTTTTCTTAACACCTTTTCAAATATTTGAAGACCATTATTCTGTTTGGTTTTGTTAGTCATATTTTATCACATGACATTGTTTTCACCATTATATTATTTTTAAAAAATCAATACAGCTCTAAAAAAATGTGGGTTGTAGAAATGAATGCACTAGTAAAGTAGGCTGACTGGCACCCAGTACACAGAGTGATGCTGATATAGTCTCCGTGTCCTGGGGTTTAAGATCGCAGCTCTTTTGGTCATTATATTAGCAGTTCCGACTCTTGGGTTTATAACTTATCTTAGGAACAGTTTCTAAGAAGCATTTCTCCATTTATTTTATCTTATTTTATTTTATCTTATTTTATTTTATCTTATTTTATTTTATTTTAAGAGAGGAAGAGAGAGGGATAGATAGAAACATCGATGAGAGAGAATCATCGATCAGCTGCCTCTTACACACCCCCTACTGGGGATGTGCCCACAACCAAGGTACATGTCTTTGACCAGAATCGAACCTGGGACCTTTCAGTCCACAGGCCAACGCTCTATCCACTGAGCCATACCGGTTTTGGCAGCATTTCTCCATTTCTCTACGGCACATTTAAGTTTTTGAAACTAAATGCAAAGCTTTACACACATCCTTGTTACATTTCACTTTAATTTTACTTTATTTCCCCCAGATTGTAGAATCTCAGAGTTTTGGAAGCAGTTTCTGGTTCTTTTTGTGAAATAGTATGTTTTGCAAAACTCTTAAATATCCACAGTGGGCGAACTGCTTTATCTTCTTTGCTTAGTTTTCTCACCTGCAGAAATGAAGTTTGCCCTGTCAGATTCCAAATGTAGAACCAAGGACAGACTTCCAAGGCCCTTCCTAAAGACTCCTCTCATCTAAGTTGACATAGAGCAGCAAGCTTATCCAAGTCACACTCAGGCAACATATAGCAAAAGTCACTTGGAAAACCATCTTGAACACTGTTTTGAGGAGAATCCACTATATATATATTTTTTTTTTCTGGTTTTCCCAATTGTGTGATCTTAGGTGAGTACTCCAATCTCTAAGCCTCTGTTTTCTCAACCATAGAATGGGTTGTTGGAAGGATTATATGAGGTAATACATATAAAGTGCTTAGAAAAGTGTGACAGATAGAGCGATTATTAGAAATCTAGAAATCATTCTTTTCCAAGATCTAAGTGCAGTTGATTTGACAGTATTTGTTCTGTTTGAATTCATGCTGCTATCCAGTGATCATTATATTCAAAACCATTCGTAGGTATTTAAAAACCATTTCATATATAGCCTAGTCTCAGATTTGACTAAGGCTGAATATTACATTTATTTGTCTGTAATTTCTGAAAGCTGCTTCCCACTCCTGCCAGCCCGCAAAACTTGATGCAACTCTGCCCCATCTCCAGGCCATGATTAGTTCTCTCTGACTCCTTCTCCAAGATTATAGCAGCTTTGTGATGATACTCGTTTATTGCTTTAGCAATATGGAATGGATTGCATCTGGACCTGAAGATTTACATTCACATTAAGCTGTTTTAGTCTCTGTTATTCACCAGGCTCAGGTTTCAGTTCTCAATGTTCTGCAACTGTAGTTGAAAAACTGAGAGAAGATAAACAAAATACAAGTTGAGCAATTCTGCCTTCTGTACGTGCTCTCTCAACCTTAACAACATCCTCTCTGAGCAGTGATTCTCTCAGTTCCTTGTTCTCTTTGAAAAATAGTATGTTTTACCAAACTTGGGTCCAAATCCTTCCCCCCACTCCCCTACCTCTTAATAGCCATGGTGGGCGAGTTGCTTTATCTGCTTGTGCTTCAGTTTTCTCACCTACAGAAATTATGTTTGCCCTGTGAAATTCCAGAGATATTGTGAGATAAAGTGTGTGAAAAATTTGTAGAATTTAAGTGCTGTACAATATAAGGTGGGATAATAATCATTTATTTGAATTTAGTTATAAAACCTGTTGTTATCTTGAAGCATTTTTTCCCCAAGCCTTCGTGTGTGGGTTGTGTGTGTGTGTGTGTGTGTTGTTTTTTTTGTTTTCTTTTGTTTTGTGTGTGTGTGTGTGTTTTAGTTTTTCTATTTCTGATACTATATCTGTATGGTTTTGTTGTTCTATTATGTTCATCCTAATTTCTTTAGCTCCATTAGCTTCTCTCCAGGAAGTCATTCTGCAGCCACGCTGAATGCTTCCCTCTTTTTTATTATTGGAATTGTTTACAGATATATAGATGGAATTTAGAAAGATCCATCTCTTGTGAGCCATTCCACTTAGCCATTGGTTTGGTGGGATCATACCTTTTTATGTTTTGAACTGTCCTTTTAAAAAAGTGTGATACATATGTAATTGTATGTATGTGCCTAGTTGATCTCTTCTTTACTTTTAAAAGTCTTTTATGATGAGATCACTTTTTGTTGAATTCCCCATCGTTATGTTTTTCACATTCTTGTTGGCCATATAACTTGTGTAGTATATCTCTACCAGCTTTCTTAGTCTTTTGAAAGAAATCTGTCAACAGAGCAACTCAACAATTATATTTTGTCAGAGTTAGCCTTTTGTTGTTGTTAATCCATACCTGAGGATATTTTTCCATTGCTTTTTAGAGAGTGGAAAGGAGAGGGAGAGACAGACAGACAGAGAGAGAGAGAGAAACATTGATGTGAGAGAGATACTTGCATTGGTTGCCTCCTACACGTACCCTGACCAGTGCTAGGAATCGAGCTTGCAACCTAGGTTCATGCCTTTAACCAGAATCAAGTTGCAAGCCAACGCTCTACCCACTGAGCCAACTCAGCTAGAGCCAGAATTAGGCTCTAATTTAAGAAAGAATACTCTTAATTTGTCAAGATAATTATATATGTTTTATATGGCTGAGTAGTACATATTTTATTATTTTATTTCTATGACAATATGACTTTTACTTTTCTTTTTTATCCCTTCTGTTTTTTTCTGTTTCCTCTGTCATAACTCAGTTGTATGTCTGTGGAATAAAAATATTTGATTTCAAATTTCAGGTATTTGTGAGGAGTGCTGGGTTATCATTCATTCATTCATTCATTCATTCATTTAAGCAGGAGGCTTTCCCTGAAGTGAAAAATTGGCTCTGATAACTAGAAAAAAAATGGCCACCCATTAGGAGTTATTGGTGAATTATAAAGATACATTCAAAAATTCTCACTTGAAAAATTATAGGTGTTCTTGCATTTTTAAAATGTCAAATGAGTATAAAATGTTAAAAGTTTTTTTTAATTTCTTCCAGGTTTACTACATCTCTGAAAGAATCAACTTTTCTCGATGGGCCCTTTAATCAAATGAAATACACCTGAACTATTTTAAAAAGCTTTGTACTTTATAATGGAAATATTTACCCCAACTAAAAATGAAAATGAGGTCATTTGAGAAGGTGATTTAAGGTGTGGACATTCGAGAAAGTATGCTATCAAATCAGTGAACCAAAGGATAAGTACTGAAATAATCAATTTGAAACACCTTTTATAAGGGCTGGATTTTATCTAGACAAAAAAACTATTTTTATTCAGTATGAATTTTCTGAAATTTAAAGAGAGAGACAAGAGTAAACTTAAAAGGAAATAAGTGAAGATGCTTAGAAAGTAAGCAGTCAACTCTTTTTTGATGAGGACAATTCAGTGATGTTAAATCCTGGTTGTGGTCCTAAAGCCAAGACTCTCTTTTGATGGGCCTGATATTAAGGGAAGTAGCGACTTTTTGTGCATTTAACTCACAGATGTAGAACTGCAGCCATCAGTATGAGTAGCTTAAAAGAGGAAATAAAGAAGTTTTCAACTAAATCTAAAAGTACAGAGATTTTTTTTCCTGCTGAGATTTTAAAAGCTGCTCCATAACCATTGAAAAAGAATTGACAGCTATTTTAAAAGATTAAAGAAAGGCAGATGTCTGCAAACAATTCCCCTCCATCAGCCCAGAAGTCTGTATTACCTGCAACTCTTCCTGCTGTGCTTCCAACCCCCTCTTCAAGTTCAAGTCCGAAGCCAGGACTCTCTGCCCGGCTCTCTAATGGAAGCTTCAGTGCCCCGTCACTCACCAACTCCAGAGGATCAGTGCATACAATTTCATTTCTATTGCAAATTGGCCTTACACGGGAGAGCGTTACCATTGAAGCTCAGGAACTATCTTTATCTGCTGTCAAGGATCTTGTGTGCTCCATTGTTTATCAGAAGGTACTGTGCATACTGTTTATGTCAATAGTTTTTCTAAGTAATATTGTTTCTAATGCTTTTCTGTGAATTATATATGAACCAATGAATTAACACATATGGATGAATTAATTGTTTATATCCTAATTCTGAGCATTGTTGGAAGAGTTCGAATAGACTATCTATCTCTCTATCTATCTATCTATCTATCTATCTATATCTATATAAAAGGCTAAGCGACTGACCAACCATCTAACTGGCCGGTAGGTATGACACACACTGACCACCAGGGGACAGACGCTCAGCACAGGAGCTGCCGAGTGGCAGCAACTTTACAGAGTGCCCTCTTACATTCCGGGACCCCTTGGGGGATGTTGGAGAGCCAGTTTCGGCCTGATCCCCACCTGTCAGAGGGACCCCCGCTCACTCCACAGATACCTTCGAGCTGAGGCCCAGGTGTGGCCAGCCAGGAAGGGACCATGGGAGGTTGACTTTAGGGCGTGTCTGGCCCGTTAAGCCCAGTCCTACCCCCCAGCTACCTTATATTTAATTTCCTTTCAATGTGCACAAATCCATGCACCCGGCCACTAGTGAGTCTGTAAAGTCTGGAATTTCAAAGTCTAACAACTGGAGCCTGTATCTCAACTTTAAAATAGTGCTTATTCAGTTGTCCTTTTAAGAGCAGGAAAATCAGCATAAAGTCAAGAGAATTTAAGAAATCTCGTTTGATTTCATAGAAAACAATAGGTAGAGAGCACAAGGTATCAAGATGTCATACACAGCTGCAGCTGAGTCCCAGGTCCATCCCTTGGTCTTTCTATGTGCCCTCTTTTTTATACTCTTTCTTCCCTTTAGATCTTGATTTCATCTAAACTGCCATTTAATATGAGTAGGTCATATTCTTTTTGTCTTTTAAAAACCAAGTACATGAGTTTGAATATGTAACAGAATACATGAAAATTTGAAAGTTGAGGGTGGTTTTGTTTCTCACTCACTGACCCCCTGCCCTATATCATGCCATGTTTTAAGGAACCTTAGCTGAATGCCTTTAATAATTTTGATTTGATGGCTGGCTGGTATGTTTTCTCTCTATATAAAAGCCCAATGACCAGAATGGCAGAACAACCAGAATGACCAGTGGCTATGACACATATTGCGGCAGCCAACCAGCCTGATCCAGACGCCAATTGCTCCCCCCTCTCCATCCTACCCCCCACCCCCCGGCCGGTCCTGCCCCCTATCAGCCCTCAGTACCCCAGTCAAGGGTAGGGCTGGCCAGCCAAATGCCCTCGGCCCCTTCCCCTGGCTGGCCACAGCTCCTTCCCCTCACTGGCCCAGCCCAATGGGCCCCATCGGGGCAGGCTGGCTGGACTCCACCCATGCACAAATTAATGCACCAGGCCTTTAGTTTTATCATAAAACTATATGTAGATGGGTAGCATAAATTGGTTTCTTTTTATTTTTAATGAACCAAGCATATGTTTTAACTATTTTTTCAAGTAAATTAGTATACTTTATGTTTCAAAATCTCATCAGTGAGGTTAATATATGTGGATTCAGGCTTTTCATCTTATTGTTTTTGTTTCAGTTCCTTATGCTGTATACAGTGTGTCCTTATCTTCTGATGGAGAAGTAATTAACAGTCCAAAAATGTTATGTGGTTTGTGAAAACGACCTACCCCTCCTGTGGTAACAGTGTAGCCCACTTGTTTTATGATCAGTAAAACCATCTCCTGTCCTTAAGTATCTTTACTTTTAGTTTCCCTTTCATTAAATGTGACAGGGCTTGTTCATAAATATTTTTGCAACTAGGTTGTAGTTTTTACTTTAAAGATAAGATTTTAACTTGAATATTTTTATTTTATTTGAGCTCTTAGGAACTCATAACCAATGCGTTGGTAGAGTCTGTATTATTGAGTTTTAAATGTTTGGAAATTTCATTTATTCCTTATATTTATATAGAAGTATACTGATTTTATAAAGAATTATTTTAGAATTAATATTACTTCATTAATATAGATGTGAGAAGTAGGTCAGATGGATTAAACTCTTGGAAAACTAGATTAAAAATCATAATCCAGGAAAAATTAGAGCGATCCCAAGGAAGTAAACAGGATATAGCTCACAAAAAGATAATTCAGAGTAAACTTTATACATATTAAAATAGAACAATTGGGGTTATGGTTATAGCCAACATAATATGAATATTATAGAGAACTGAATTTGAACCAATATTATAGTCATATGGGGATGTGTTTGGCAAAAAAATACATAGCATACATATGACATAAACATATTACATTCCTTTCAGACGTGCTAGAATGCTTCTTGTTTAAGTGAAAAAGTTATTGAACCTAAGACTGGGTCCATTATGAATATGGATGGATACAGTTAAACAAGGATTATAAAAATAAATAAACAAATAAATATTAGATTCCTATATTTTCATGTTGGTTTATAAAACAGATTTAACAACAAACAGGATCTCTGCCCTCTAGGAATTTATAAGCTAAAAGGAGTGCTTTTTACTCTGATAAAAGCCAAAGAACTAGCTGGTCCGGCCGCAGGAGAACCAGGAAAGCAGCAGGGGTCAGAGCAGCAGGCAGTGCTGGGGTGGAGCCAAGCAGAAACCGGCTGATCACATCTCTGCTGGGAGCTAACACCAGAGAGTCATGTTACAAATGAGCAAGTCAGGCTTGGGGGAATACGCCAAAAGCCCTGCCTGTTTATAGTGTTTATTCATGCATGGATTCCCAATGTCAGAATTACACGAGCGTTTAAATCTGTTCCTGGCGTGTGTTAAAAAAAAAAAAGAAGAAAAAGAAAAAAAAAGATTAATCCAAAAAAGAAGTAGCAGTGTTGTAGACGCTGAGACAGACTCAGATGATGATATTGATTCTGCCATTTTCTTGTTTTGTGAATATAGACCCTTGATTTTTGATCCTGATCTGTAGGATCGTAATATCTACCTCCATTTAAAAATTATAGTGGTTAAATGAAAAGCCCTTGATACAGTGTCTGGCACATAATTAGTGCCCCCAAGTAGTAATAGTTACGTTTTTAAAGTCTGTTTAAATCTGGAAACACCGTTGGTCCTGTAGTGTTCTTAAAATTTTAGTAAATACCAAAGCGTGTATAGCATTCCTCCAACATGCTGGCATTGCTTTACTCTTACCTTTTGATTTTAATGTTTAGCATATGACAAAGTATAAAAAATAGAGCTTGTGTTCATTTTATTAGATAACTGTTGATTATTTTAGGAATTTTGAAGAAATTAAATGGAATTGTCTGTAACAAGTGCTTTGCACAGTACCTAATGCATAATAACTGTGCTCAGCCTTGGCCCGTGTGACTCCTTAGTTGGAGCATCATCCCTTACACCAAAGGTGGTGGGTTCAAGTCCTGGTCAGGGCACACACCTAGGTTGCAGGTTTGGTCCCCAGTCAGGACTCTTTTGGGAGGCAAGTGATCGATGTGTGGTGTGGTGTGTGTGTCTCTCCCCCCCGTTCCCCCCCCCCCCCCCCCCCCCCGCCAAAGTCAATTAAAAGTTAGTGAATGTTAATTCCCCACCTTCTTGCTTTCATATTGCCAACGTGCTACCACTAAGATGCTACTGCTACTGTGTTAATTTGTTGAATGAACATAGTAATTGTAATTGGGGTGAGAAAGGAAATTGCCAGACAGCAATTCATTTTAAGCTATAACGGTGTTTACTGAAAATGAAATAATTCTAACTAAAGTCGACTGACTGTTTTGAGCTAATTTAAAGCATTTTTTAGTTTTGACCATGTACATGGCACTAGACCTGAAGACTTTGCTTATGTATCCTTATTAGCAAGTGGTTCTGGCCTGTTCTTTGAATGCATTGCCTCTGCAGGCACCGGTTGGCTGTAATTTTCAGGTCCTGCCAAGAGTAGAGCACAAACCCCAGCCGTATCTTTTGTTTTCTGGAAACCAGTTGTCATTACGGGTTGTTTTTCTAATTTCTTCTACTACAGCTGGGTTATAGAGGCTTGGCGTCATCCTACTCTTCACCCTAGTCCTTTTTGTCTTAGCAAATAGTGTTAGGCAACCGTAACTAATCTGAAGGCTCAAACTGGAAGAAGTGTAGTGTTTTTTAAAACATTCTGCTGGATATTCAGGTTAAGACCTTGGCTGGGATAAAAAGTTCCAGATAGTTTGAATTAAAAGTAATCAGAACTAATAAAAACAAGGAAGAAGGAAAATGAAAAAAGATTGCTCTGGTTTGTGTCAAAGAGAAATAACAAATGTTAAATGAAGCACTTCTCTGGTATGTCATACCCAGAAAATTCTGAGTTGGAGATTAATGATGAAAGTACAGAATAAACTCAGTTATGTTGAGTAATTTTTTCGTTGACTCATCTAGACTCTAGGGCCTTCTATCAGTATTTAGAAACAGAATCATTTAAATTATTCTTTAATTAACACTTTCCTATGATATTAAATGATTTGTCCCTGGGAAATATAGCAGTGTTAAATTAGCTCTGTAGTCAACTTTTTCAGTAAGTGCCTGTGAAATACTAAGTTCTAGGTGTTAGGGTTTTAGTAAGGAACATGAAAAAAGAATGCCCTTGCCCTTATCTAGCTTATTACTATGATCTAGTTATTAGAAAGCTGTCCTGTGAAGATTTGACATCAGATTAAAAAATGATTTAAGTATTCAACTTCTAAAATTAAATGAATGTTAAGAAATCTGTGGCCAAAACCAGCTCGGCTCAGAGGACAGAGTGTCAGCTTGCGAACTGAAGGGTCCCGGGTTTGATACTGGTTGGTCTAGGGCACGTACCTTGGTTGCGGGCATATCCCCAGTAGGGTGCATGCAGGAGTCAGCTGATTGATGTTTCTCTCTCATCTATGTTTCTAACTTTCTATCTCTCTCCCTTCCTCTCTGTAAAAAAAAAAAAAATCAATAAAAAAAATATATAAAAAGAATACTTTTAAGGAAAAAAAGAAGAAAAAAAAGAAATCTGTGGTGCTGAGAATGTTCAATAGTTTAATCTGGGTGGTGGTAATGGGTGTGTGTATGTAGTAGTAGTAGTCTGTCTTCTAATTAAGATTAGTGCACTTATACTTCAATTAGATTTAAAAAAACACACAACTAAAATGTACACTAAAACTCTTCAAGGTTGCCCATTGTACTTAGAATAAAGCCCATGCTCTTTTTAAAAAGGTGTGTAGAGGTAAGTTATTTGTTCAGATAAATGGTAAATTTTGAAGCTCCTTTGTTAACATGTAAAAATTATATTTGACCACATAGAATTAAAAACTCGAAAACTTCCTGCCTCATTAACATTTTTCTGACAGCAGTTTAATGGCATAAACTTTAAACTGTTCACATAAAGAATTCTCAACATATAATATTACTTGGATAAATTTTATTTGCAAGTATTGGAACCTTTTACTTATAATAAATGTGAATGCATACCATACAAAGTAACTTACAAAATGGTTATTAAAAGATAAGATGATCTGTTTTTTATTCATGATGCCATCTTTAATGTAAAAATAAAGAATTTGAAGTGGGCAAAGAGAGCTTATAAGAGGTGGGAATTTGATAACTTCATGATGAAATTCTATTAATTTTCCATATGTACTAGGAATTCATTTTGCACAGTCAGGAGGAGTCATTGGCAGTCTGTAGAAAGCAAATCAAGAGAAGCCTGAGGGAATCTGGAAAGAGGCTAAATTAAAGGCCTGTTTTGCTTCTACTCTGATGGCTCTTGTATTTCTTTCATTTCCTCTTTCTTTTAATCAGGGCTGAGGTAAGCTAGGGATGGAAATATGGGCATGTCTCGTTTTCAGAAGGTTGTCAACTTCCTTCACATTTCCCAATCTCTCTATACTCTTGACTCCCTTATTTTCTACAGTAGTATTTCTTAACTTTAGCACCAGGGACATTTTGGGTTAGTTTTGTTTTGTGGGCTGTCTGGTGCATTGTAGGCTGTTTAGCAGCATCTCTGGCCTTTCTCCATTGGCTGCTGTACCTCTCAGGTTGTAATAACCAAAAGTGTCTCAAGACATGGCCTCATATCTTCTGGGGGGTAGGGGGGAGTAATATTGCTCCAGTTGAGAACAGCTGCCCTAGGGAAATAAACTAAATACAGTAATCCTCACTTAACATTATTGATAGGTTCTGTGACTTTATTATTATATTTAAAATTCTCACCTAAGGATATGTTTTGGGATTTTTTTCCTCATTTTTAAAATTTAAATTCTTTATTGTTTAAAGTATTACATATGTCTCCTTTTCCCCCCATTTACCTCTCCTTAGCTGTTCTGACCCCCAGCACAAGCCTTCACCCTCCTAGTGTCTATGTCCATGGGGTATGTTTATATGCACGCATACAAGTCCATTGGTTGATCTCTTACACCCTCTCCCACCCCCCTCGTTCCCTCTGAGGTTAGATGGTCCGTTTGTTGCTTCTATGTCTCTGGATCTATTTTTGTTCATCAGTTTCTGTTGTTCATGTTATTCCACAAATGAGTGAGATCATGTGATATTTATCTTTCTCCGACTGGCTTTTTTCGCTTAGCATAATGCTCTCCAGTTCCATCCATGCTGTTGCAAATGGTAAGAGTTCCTTGTTTTTTTTCAGCAGCATAGTATTCCATTGTGTAGATGTACCACAGTTTTCTAATCCACTCATCTGCTGATGGGCACTTAGGGTGTTTCCAAATCTTGGCTATGATAAATTGTGCTTCTATGAACATAGGGTTGCATATATCCTTTCTGATTGGTGTTTCTAGTTTCTTGGAATATATTCCTAGAAGTGGGATCACTGGGTCAAATGGGAGTTCCATTTTTAATTTTTGAGGAAACTCCATACTCTTCTCCACAGTGGCTGCACCAGTCTGCATTCCCACCAGCAGTGCATGAAGGTTCATTTTTCTCCACATCCTCATCAGCACTTGTCGTTTATTAATTTGTTGATGATAGCCATTCTGGCAGGTGTGAGATGGTATCTCATTGTCATTTTGATTTGCATCTCTTGGGTGATTCGTGATTTTGAGCATGTTTTCTTTCATATGTCTCTTGGCCTTCTGTACGTCCTCTTTTGAAAAGTGTCTATTTAGGTCCTTTGCCCATTTTTTTATTGGATTGTTTATCTTTTGTTAAATTGTATGAGTTTCCTGTAAAGTTTGGAGATTAAACCCTTATCGGAAATAACATTGGCAAATATGTTCTCCCATGAAATGGTCTTTCCTGTTGTTTTGTTGATGGTTTCTGTTGCCGTGCGTGAATTCGTGCACTGGGCCTCTAGTTTACTTATAAAAGCAGAAAGCTATGTGTATGCTGATAGAAGACTATTTTTTTTTAACCTGTTGCAGTTTCCAGAGTGTGGATTCTTTGGCATGTATGATAAAATTCTTCTCTTTCGCCATGACATGAACTCAGAAAACATTTTGCAGCTGATTACCTCAGCAGATGAAATACATGAAGGAGACCTAGTAGAAGTTGTTCTTTCAGGTAAGTAAATAGCTTCTTTTATTTTGTCATCCCCCCCCATTTTACTTTCCCCAACTAAATGCTATGTTCCATCATACTTTGCTTTTGTACTATAGTTGCTTAATTATTTCAATAATAGTTACCACATAATTTTTACTTTCAGATAGATTGTATCAGAGATTAGAAACTAGGAACATAAGCCTTGAATTACTTGAGTATTACTAAGCTAAGAGGATTATCAATTGAACTAGAAGAGAAGTATAATCGTCTTTGAGCCAAAGAAATAAAATAATTACACTAAAATTCTATACCCCTTTTCCCATTTTTGTAAAGAGTTCAGAAAAGAAAATGAGAAAGATAAGAGAAGTAATGAAGATGTGGAAGAGGCAACTGCATTGCTGGGTGTTTCCATGATTTAAATAATGCTTCTTTCCTTGTCTTCAGTGGACATTTTTTTACCTCTCTCCTTTCTGTCTTTCATCCATTCTTGCCATTCATTGTTCCTTAGCTCCTGTGATTTCAGATTTCATCCAGTAACAGATAGGCAGGATTGATAGTGAGGAGTGTAAAGGAACAAAGAATGTATATACCGTGTTTCCCCGAAAATAAGACATCCTCTGAAAATAAGACCTACTTACAGGTTTCCTTCTGAGTGAAATATAAGGCATCCCCTCGAAAATCAGGCCCCCCCTAGGCTCTGTCTCAGAATGCTATTGCTAACCATGAGAGATTTGGCCCACTGATTCTGAAAGAAATGGAGTCACAAGAAATTCACCAGGAAATTCAGGAATTGGATTGTTATGATGATGTTCCAGAAGATGATGACATGATTGTCATTGAATAAATGAATAAATTCTTGATACTGTAGGATTCACAGTTTGTCTGGTTTGTGTTGACAACTACCGTACTACCGTATACAGGTAATAAATTTCCTTTATTTTCATTTAACAATAAATGTGTACCGTATTCTTCTTCATAGAAAAATAAGACATCCCCTGAAAATAAGACCTAGCGCGTCTTTGGAAGCAAAAATTAATATAAGACACTGTTTTATATTATTTTCGGGGAAACAGGGTAGTAGGCTTGCAAAACGCATTGTTTGGCAGGGCCTGAGGGAGGGAGAAAGGAAGGGAGGGAGGAAAAGCATGAGAGGAAGGAACGGAAGGAAGAGATGGAGAAGGAAGGGAAGGAAAAAAAGGAAAGCCAGCCAAGAGTCCAGAGTCCTGCCACCAGTTTTTCCTCTTCAAGCTCATTTTTGCAGCCCGTTTTGGAGATCCTCTCTGAGCATCACCTTTCCTTATTAGTCCCTGATCCTCCAGTTCATCTAGTACCAACATTTGTCATTCCTCTGCTGTACCACAGCCCCAATCATCTATCCACTTCTTAGGCCTTGTCTTCCTCTTCACTTTGGAGGAGCTTTACTCCCTGTCCTCTCTGGAGGTCATGTTCACATCCAATCCTGCTTTGTTACAGACCCTTCATCAGGCCACTGTGGATACTAATGACTTCAGGTGTAGGTGAGATGATGTTTTCTGGTAGATGTGTCTACTGTTCATCTGCTTATAGAAGGGAAAGGAGACTCTTTCCTAACTACCTAGGACTATGGAGAATAGACAAAAGCATATCCTGAGAACTTAAGTTAGAACTGAGTACATTTCTTACAGGAACATTGGTATAAATTGCGGTCAGGTTCCACAAATTTATTTATTTATTTGTTTGGTTTTATTTTAGCATTCTATTTCTCAGTGTATTTTAAGTTAAACCGTTTTAATTGGCTAAAATAGACCTAACAGCTGCTTAAAATCCAGGCTTGTCACTTTGAGAAAAGGTTTTTGGAGGTCAAAATATCTACCTATAGGACCTGCTTTTGGAGTTGAGATTAATTGAAGCTGATGAACTTCCTAAAATAGAGTTAAAAAGCCACAGTGTTAGATGCTAAAAATATTTTATTTTTATGGTCAGATGAAACTTTCAGAGAAAAAAATGATTCTATACTTTGACCAACATTCCTAAGCTCATAGCAAGTATAAGCATAATAAGGTTTATTTCATATTTTCTTTTTTTAAAGCTTTGGCCACAGTAGAAGACTTCCAGATTCGTCCACATACTCTCTATGTACATTCTTACAAAGCTCCTACTTTTTGTGATTATTGTGGTGAAATGCTCTGGGGCCTGGTACGTCAGGGTCTAAAATGTGAAGGTATGTGTTCTAAATGTTATATCATTTGAAATAGGATTTCACTTTTGCATTCTCTAATCATCAACGAAAGAATAAGATCATTAGTTGGTGACTAGGTAGTAACCCAGGTTTAGAATCGGAGAGATCTAGACTTTGGTCTTTCCTCTGCCACTTATTGGGTCCTATCCTTGGGCAACTTACTAAACCTCTTAGGATCATTTCTCTGCAAAATGTATTCTCCACTGGTTTTATGAAGAGTAAATAGTTAAATGAGGTAATACAGGTAAAATTCTTGGCACTAAATAGAGGCTAAATAATATTAACTTCCTTATTCTCTTCTTAAAACAATGTTTTACATGCAACAACAAAGTTGTTATGAATTATAATTGCTAGGGAATAAGATGAGTTGCCGAATTCTGTTTAAGAAACTGTAAAGTGCTGGGACCGGTTTGGCTCAATGGATAGAGCGTTGGCTTGGGGACTGAAAGGTCCCGGGTTCGATTCCGGTCAAGGGCATGTACCCTGGTTGCGGGCATATCCCCAGTAGGGGGTGCGCAAGAGGCAGCTGATCGATGACTCTCTCTCATCGATGTTTCTAACTCTCTATCTCTCTCCCTTCCTCTCTGTATAAAATCAATAAAATATATTTTTTAAAAAAAAAAGAAAGAAAAGAAACTGTAAAGTGAATGATCAATGAAATTGTTTTGTAAAGGGCCAGAGTAAATATTTTAAGGTCTGCTGGCCATATGTTCTCTATCGAAACTACTTAACTCTGCTGTTATAGTGTGAAAGAAAATTGAGCGTGTTATATTGCTGTGTTCCAATAAAATTCTTCATATGATTTTCAAATGTCTTGGGAAGGATTTGGTACACAGGCATAGTTTGTTGAAGTGCTTTAAGCCCGGTAATTCTCAAACTTTACCATGCATCAGAATCACCTCAAGGACTGATTTGCTAGTTTCTGATTCAGTAGGTCTAGGGTAGAGCTCAGTAATTTACATTTTTAACAAATTCTCAGGGGATTCCATACTTGGGGATCACAGCTCAAGAACTACCGTTTCACTAACGTGATCCTTTTAAATAAACCTGCTTACACATTTCCTGTTTTTGAATTTGTTAGCTTCCATTTAGCCTGTTGTCTGGGTTCTTAATTTTTTTTTAACCTTTTAAAATATATTTAGGCTGTGGATTAAATTATCATAAACGTTGTGCCTTCAAGATTCCAAATAACTGTAGTGGAGTAAGAAAGAGACGTCTGTCAAATGTATCTCTGCCAGGACCTAGCCTCTCAGTCCCAAGACCTCTGCAAGCAGAATATGTTGCCCTCCCCACTGAAGAGGTACGTATTTAAGGTAATAGAATGGCGCTGTACTAGGTATTCCTTAGGTGGTACAGGATATATGACATCATTTTTTAGAACATAAGTTTTATGCTAAAGAACAGTAAGATTCTTACAGTTAAGCTTAAAATGTGTTACGGAGACAGGGCTTACCAATAGTAATGAGCTGCATTTTGTATGCTTTGGGATCACACCGTCACTTGGACCGCACCGCATTCGTCTCTTGACCAGTATCCTGACACCTGGTCTCCATACTTTGCTTCATACTTACATACGGACCACCTTATCACATTACAGCTTCATACACAATTCCCGACTAGAAAACTTTTATATAGTCTATGTTTCTGACATCTGTACTATTCAACATTCCCAGAACACGTCCTTGCTCCTCCTACCTTTGTTCTTCTCTGTTCTACATGTTTTTTCTAGGCCTCACTCAACAGCTACCTTTCCTGATTTCCCTCTCACTGCATAGAAGTTATTTTGTTTTCTGAATGCCATAGCACTTTTCAGACCTCCTAATGGTGTGTATAGTATTGGTATGCTGTCCTCAAGGAGTTTATGATCTCTTTAAAGAAAGCAATGCTCAGTTCCATGACCAGCACAATCCCTGGCACTTAGTAGTTATACTCAGCGATGAAGGAATGTGTGAGTGCCCCCACCGATCCTCACAGCATTCCAGTAAGGCGGAGCAGTACATCTGTATGCCATGGGACAGTTGAGGCTCAGGATGGTCAAACGACTTCACTGAAGTCAGAGCAAATCAGTAAGTGCTCTTAGAACTAAATCCAGAACCGATTTTCCCCCCTAAAAATTAAAAAGTATATATATATATATATATATATATATATATATATATATATATATATATATATATATTTATTGATATCAGAGAGGAAGTGAGAGAAAGAAACATCAATGATGAGAGAGAATCATTGATCAGCTGCCTCCTGCACGCCCCACAATGAGGATCAAGGCTACAACCCAGGCATGTGCCCTGACCAGGAATCAAACCGTGATCTCCTGGCTCATAGGTTGACGCTCAATCGCTGAGCCACGCCGGCTGGGTAGAACTGGTTATTTTTAAATCAGTGACTTTTTCTTATATATTATATTATTTCCCTCAAGTATAAAGGTAGAGGATCAGGGAAGAAAGCAATAACTTTCTTGTTCATTTGATAGTACTTAAAATGATTTCCATTCATAATTTAGTTGCTTCTATAATCCCTTTGGTCTCCTGTAAATTAATGCTAAAATTAAGCCTTTAGGCTATTTTCTTGATGTCCTAGCCACACTGTATTGTGCTTCAATTTCTTCCCTAGTTATTGGCTATTGAAATTTTTAGAATCCTAGGAATATGTACATTTCCTCCAGGTTGTCTAGTTTGTTAGAACAGAGTTGTTCATAATAATTTTTAACAATCCTTGGTAATTCTGTGGGGTCTATTATTATTTCGCCTCTTTCATTTCTGATTTTGTTTATTTGGGTCCTCTCTCTTTGCTTCTTGGTGAGCCTGGCTAGAGGTTCATCAATCTTGTTTATCCTTTTAAAGAAACAGCTCTTGGTTTCTTTGATCTTTTGTATTGTTTTTTTGGTCTCTATGTCATGAAGGGATGTGTTAGGAAAATTCTTCCTTATAGGGATATCTCAATACATTTGATGATGACCTGCTAAATTAGTCTTATTCCATCTTGGGTGTTTTAAACTTGAGACACCTGAGAAGTGGTGGAATCAGGAGCAAGAAGTAGTGTTGAGTCACCACTAGAATAGGGAGCCGAGGATGAACAAAGGCCTAAAACATCTGTTTCTGGTTCCTGTTGGCTTCTTTATTAGCTGTGCAGAATCACTGTGGTGGTTCTTTTGCTGAAGATGCTCCACACATAGCATATGGATGAAGGGTGTGTGTGTGTGGTGGGGGGGGCAGACTAGAGCAGGACACCTTGGACAAATAAAGCATACAAGTTTGGTTTGGATTTTAACATTCTTTTTGTACTTTTCTTAAACTACTCCATAATTCATTTTAGAAACTTTCTGGCTACACATTAGTGGAAAACTATACATCAGAAGCTGTATTTGCATTATTTTTACAGTGTTCTCCTCCACTCAACTGTGCTTTTCTTTTTTCTTCTTCCTACTTTCTTAAAAAAAAATATTTTTCTCTCCTTTTATTTCTCCCTTCTCTATCTCTTGGTTCTTCTAGTTTCTTTTCCTTCTGTTGGTTGAATATATCAATATAGAATAACTCAACTTTTCTGAATTACAGACATGACTAGTTATAGAAAGCATGTGAAAGATCTCAGGACCTCAGTTCTAGCAGTGAAGCTGCAAGTAGCTACAACAAAATGTGTAATACATCTAGAAGGTAGTTAGGTATTTGGTTTTGTGCTTGGAAACATGGACTATATTCATTTTTATATCCACATACATTGTATCAGGCCTGGCCTATAGTAATCAATGAACATTGAATGAATGGAATGAGCCACATTGAACTGACATAATTTAATATGATTATTTCTTTTGAATATATAGAAAGAGCCATAGTTGTAAAAATCCACTTATTCCTCATGTTACACAAAAATTTTTAATCAGCTCCTTTAATTTTTCTTGCTCAAAAAAGAAAAAGTATAAATAACTGAAAAACATTTAAATATCAAGGATCTTCATAAAGCATAATTACTGGAGGTAAAGTTGTTTTAATTAGTTTTGTATCTGCCATTATGTATATCATCATTAATTAAACTGAAATTTTTACACACATATTTTAGTATTAAAATAAATTTGAAAAAACAATTTGTTTTGAAATGTTTTCAGACATTGTGTTCAGTAATTTAATATGAATATCGATAACACTTTCTGTATTTATTTGCTTTTCTTTTTATTTATTTATTTTTATTTTTATTTATTTATTTATTTATTTTTATTTGCTTTTCCCATGATTAATTCCTTGGTAAGATTTTTGGAGGGATTTGAACATCTGTTATAAATTGACTTTAAGGCTTTTGTGTTTTATTTGAAAAATGCTATGTGTGCTTGGCAAATAATAGCTAACCGGTGAATCTGTGCATGTGAGAATGAAAACACCCTTTTTAAAAAAATCATGAATAGCAAAGAAATTTTGCTCTTTTTCTCCTTCAAGAGTTGGCCAGTTAAACTTCCAAAGCAAACTGCTGAGATCCACATTTTTGAGTTTGGGCTGTGTTGTTTAAAAAAATGACTTTTGTGGTCAGACTGAGCTCTTAATATATTTTTTTAATATTGACTTATATGTATGGAAATTACTTATGTTTTAGTCACATGTTCACCAAGAACCAAGTAAGAGAATTCCTTCTTGGAGCGGTCGCCCCATCTGGATGGAGAAGATGGTGATGTGCAGAGTGAAGGTCCCGCACACGTTTGCCGTTCACTCTTACACTCGCCCCACGATCTGTCAGTACTGCAAGCGGCTACTGAAAGGACTCTTCCGCCAGGGGATGCAGTGCAAAGGTAGGATTGGATGTTCTTCTTCAGTAAAATTCATATCTGTATTAGCAAATACAGGTTTACAATACTGATATTTAGAAGCATTAAACAAAGAAATTGATCTCGCAGTTGTTATCTTAAAAAAGAAAGAAGATACACAGGTTAAAAACTACTACTACTATCTGAAATATATGTACTATGTACCAGGAACTGTGCTAAAGAAAAATTAGAATATAAACAGAAAAATTAGTATTTGGATCTCTGAGCTATGGCTGCTTAACACTTGCAAATACAGAACAGTTAGTAAGCAGGTAAGCTGATATTTAAGCTTAATTAAGTCTTTCTAATTCCAAAAACAGATAACTACCAAAGATGTAATGTTTTCCTTTTTCTATTAAATATTTATACACACACACTAAAAGAGTTGTTATTTTTTATTAATTATGTAGCTAGGAAAATTGTACAAAAACTGTCATTCCTGAAATAGGTGAAATACAGTAGAAGCCACTTATAATAGGAGCTACCATATTTGGATACTAACCCAAAACGCTATCATAGTATTCCAAAAACATCTGTTAATGAACCAGGTTTTTAATAGGAAAATGGAATAATTTTTCCTGTAGAGTTATATGTTTTTATATTTTCTAAAATTATTTTATCTTTTTAAAAAATGTCATATCTCTCAGCAATGCTGTATAATACTGTGAAAACCAAAATAGTTTGAATGTGTTATTAGTTGTTAAGCCAGGATACAACAAGTAATCTTTCTAAAATCTTATGTACTTATTTTTCATGTGACTATTTTAACGGTTCTTGGTACCATACTTTTTTTATATAATAAAAGTATTTGTGAAATTAAATCAGTTTTATCTAAATAAACATTATGTTTGAGATCTTTGCAATAATAAATCCTGTTTACAGTACACAAATAATTGTATATAAATTTAACAAATATATAAGAAAAGAAAAGGTTTTCTTGGTAACAATAGGACAGCATAGGAGAGCATCAAATAGAGAACAGGTTGTATAATTGTTGTCAAGTATTTAATAAGCATCAAGCAGGCATAATTACATGTTGAAATTTTATTTCAACAGCTTAGTTTTGAATATAATTTAATATATGTTAATACTTTAGAATATCAACACTAGAGTGTATTGGCAAGCAGCCACTAAGGAATGTTTTGGGAAAGAACATTAATAACAGATGTACAAATTCTAGCCAGCAGATAATCTTAGAAAAGGTAGAAAATAGTGCTGTTCTGCTCAGCAGAAAAGAAACATTCTAAAACCAATATTTTGTAGAGGAACTGAAATAAATATGTAGATTAATGGACTTTGAAATAACCAGTTAACTCTGCCACTGGATTATTAATTTAACTTCTCAGAGCTCTAAAAGAATAATGTTTGTGATTATATTGTTTCAGAAAGTAGTAGGTTATATTTCTAGTTATTTTGATTATCAATCAAAAACCATCAAAGTTTACTTCAGTGGTTCTTATATTTTTTATTATTATTTATTTTCATCCTTACCCAAGGATATGTTTTTTTTCATTGATTTTAGAGAGAGGAAGGGAGACAAAGAGAGAGAGAGAAACATCGATTTGAGAGAGAAACATTGATTGGTTGCCTCCTGTACACACCCCAATTGGGGATCAAACCCAAAACCTAGGTATGTGCTCTAAGAATCGAAGCCAAGAACCTTTGGTGCACCAACAATGCTCAACCAACTGAGCCACACTTGCCAGCGCCTAGTATTTTTATAATACTATTTTTATAATATGAATTAAGATGCTTAAAAAGTAAAATAGTTATTTTCATTCATTATTCAAGCTAAAAAAATATAAAACATTTATGCTGGATTATTTGAGGAAAAAATACAATTCCAAGAACAGTATTCATTTATACACTTCTTTGAATTTTTTACTTCGTTATATTAAAACAGCAAGGCAACTTTAGAGCATATTCTATATAATAATCTATATAATAAAAGGCTAATATGCAAAGCGACCGAACGGTGGAACGACTGGTTGCTATGACGTGCACTGACCTCCAGGGGTAAGTGTGCTCCCACAGAGGGAGCGTCTCTCAGCCAGAAGCCAGGCTCATGGATGGTGAGCACAGCAGCTGAGGCAGAAGCCTCTCTTGCCTCCACAGCAGCACTAAGAATGTTTGCCTGCCAGCTTAGGCCCGATCCCTTTGGGGAGCGAGCCTCAGCCCTCAGACAGGCATCCCCCGAGGGATCCCAGACTGCAAGAGGATGCAGGCGGGGCTGAGGGAACCCCCCTTCCTCCAGTGCACGAATTTCGTGCACCAAGCTTCTAGTAAAATACAAGCATAAACAAATTAATAAAACCTAGAGGGATACAGAGAGATAAAAATGCCTGCCATTAGTACCTACATCACTTGCTACAGATGGGCCACCTATTTGGCTTTACATTTTCAAAAGGAAACCTTGTTATTTTTTACAATTTGCAAACTTATGAGATAAAAAATGAATTATTATTTAAGATATATGCAAGATATTAATATGTATGAAATTTTTCTCAGGGCCTCTCATTTAAAGACAGTGTAATATGATGAAAATGTTATTATCCACCAAATTATTATTTTCATGGGACTTTTTCTTTTAAGTCAGGACTTGAAATTATTTTTTTTTACCCAGTTATTGCTGATAGATGTATTCTAGGGTAGTGTTATACAATAGTTAGAACAGTGGGTTTCAATTTTAGTGTCACCTAAAGAGGTTATTAAAACACCTCTCAGCCCCCACACCCAGAGCTGCTGATGTAGTCTGGAGTGGGACCCAAGAGTTTGCATTTCTAGCAAGTTCTCAAATGATGCCTGTGTTGTTGGTCTGAGATCGCAGTTTGAGAACCACTGAGTTACAGAGTAGTATTGAACTGCTTGTACCTCACAGTAATCTGCAACTGAAGTTCTTACGAGCTAAAAGAAACATTATGTGTATGTGGGAGACCTCATACATGAGAAGCTCAGTTCTTCCTTACAAGGTTGTATGTGCAGGCCCTCACTCATTCCTAATAACTGGTTGTGAAATCTTAGTCTCTTTTCTGCATATGCACTAGGACTAATAATTAGAAATTGAAAGTAAAGACTAATGTGTATTGGAAAGGAATGTGAGGTAAGGGAAGGAAACATGGACTTGCCAGCATTTTAACTTTATTTTACAGATAAAGAAACTAAGCCCCGAGGAGTTAAATTGTTCAAGAGTTGGCCTCAGAATTTGAAACTAGACCTTTAGTCCAAGACCTTAGTTCTTAGTAGAGAAAAACTTCATTGATTCATCATTGTCATTTCTAATACTCTGTGAGGTGTGTGTGATTTAAAGAAAGTCTTGAGTCATATCTGATATTGCCTAACTTTTTACATAAATTAATAAGCTGAATATTGTTATTTTAGATTGCAAATTCAACTGCCATAAACGCTGTGCATCAAAAGTGCCAAGAGACTGCCTTGGAGAGGTTACTTTCAATGGAGGTAAAATTCTTTTTCTTAATTTTTATAAAAGATTAGGAAAGGCCATAATTCTTTTGTTTATTATCTTTGTATATGGTTATATTTGCATATTTTAGTCTGTGTTTTTAACTTTGACTTCTTTTTCTGATTTAATAAACAAGCAAAATTCAGAGATCAGTAATGGTATACTTTTATTAGTAATTATATCTTCCCATCTTTCCTTTAACTACCTACCACTTTAGAGTCTATTATAGCTAATAGTGCTGCATATCTCATTTCATCTTTAGACAAAAAAAGACTTACTTTAAAACCCTGTTGTTAAACACACACACACACACACACACACACACACACACACACAAAAATACCCTGTTGTTATCCCTAGAACTGTTTTATAGTTCTAATATTTATTCACTGCTTATTGTGTGCCGGGTACTGTTCTAAGCTCTTTACAAATATTGAAATTTAAACTTAAGAACATCCCTTTGAAGTTAAATATTTACAGATGAGTTAACTTAGTCACAAAGATATTAAATAATTTGTCCATGAAATACAGCCAATCAGTGGTAGAGTTGGGATTTGAATCCATATGGTCTGGCTTCTTAGTCCATAGTTATTAGAACACATTGTACAGCCTCACTGTCTCTTTTTTCATCAAGTAATCATTAGCTAAACATTTCCCCTTTTTGCCTTTTTCCCCCTCTTCTTTTAAGACTATTAATAAAGTGATTACCATTTTTGGAAGGAAGGAGTAATGACTACACTTTCAGCATAACTTTTCTTTAACATTCCCATGACTGGTAAAAATTGAATGTAAGTAGTTTTGTAGGAGGAAAAGCAGAAGGGATGAAATTATACAGCTCCTTAAGAGGTTAACATTTTTTCTTAAGGCATGTTTTCTATGCTTGCTGTTTAAAACATTGACAAAGCATGATCAATTTTCTTATTTTTCTACATTACTGAAATCTTTTCATGTATTTTTTTCACTTTACTACTGTTGTCAAATGGATATGAAGTACTATTTATATTTATTTTAATATATGTTTATCTGTGTACTAATGAATTATTTGATTAAGTAATCAGTAAACATTTGAAAGGTGAATTTGAGCATCTTTCAGATGTTTACTGATTATTTAAAGAATTTTAAAACTTTTCCCCCACATTTAATATACTGTTTCTGTTTGGATGTATTGATAACCCATTAGTGTAAAACTAATTCATTTAAATTTTTGCCAGAACCTTCCAGTCTGGGAACAGAGTCAGATATACCAATGGATATTGACAGTAGTGACATGAACAGTGATGGTGGTAGGGGTTTGGACGACACGGAAGAACCATCTCCCCCAGAAGATAAAATGTTTTTCCTGGATCCATCTGATCTCGATGTGGAAAGAGATGAAGAAGCTGTGAAGACAATCAGGTAAGACACATTTAGCCAGGGTAGGTCCAGGAGGCCTGTTAATGAAGAAAATCGGACCTCCACTTGTTCCACTTAATCTCTTTATGTGGACTAAAAATGTAATTTAAACTCTAATTGTGGCTAATTCTTTTACATGCACTACAGTATTTCTGACATAAGTTATATTACTCTTGCCATCCATTCAAGATAGAAAGATAGTAGAATTCTGATTTCTTAAAGACAAAAATGCTTTATTTAAATGTGGAGCAGCACACACAAAGCGCTAACATTAAACCACCAGGTTAGCAGGGATGGGGAATATCTGGCCCGAGGGCAGTATAAGGCCTGCAACATCATTTGGTTTGGCTCTGCCAAGCATTCAGGGTGAGTTAATTAAATGTGTGGCCATTTAGAGCAGGCTAATTTTTATGTTGACAATCTTGTAAGGCCCTGGAATGATGTTATAAATGTCTAAATGGCCATTGGCAGAAAAAAGGTTGCCCACCCCTGAGTTAAAGCAACCAATTTCACAGCCTTCATGCACGTAGATTGCCGCTGTTAGAAACATGGTAAGAATACATGCCTGAGACTGTTACACAAAATTGTTAGTAACGAGTTTGGGGGTAGTTTTCATACTGCTACATTAATCTGACGTTTGGCACTTTGTAAAAATGCTTTTTGATTATAAACCTCATAAATATCTCCTGTTAACAGGAATTCAGTATTTTGTATATACAGCCCTATAAGGATGTACTACTTCCTAGTAGAATATTACCGCTTCGGCAGGTTTTATTTTTCATAGGCAACAGAGAGGCATTTAAAGAAAAGGATGGGTCATTTATCAATCTCACACGGCAGAGCTGTCATTTACTCAGTTTGGCTTCTCCTTAAATTACAGGTCTTACCATAATCTTTAAAACTTATTTACCCAATTTAGAGACTATTGAGAGAACTTATTTTCCTAAGCATGAATATTTCATAATTTTAAGAGAAAGTATTTTTCAACTCTTTGAGACTCAAATTCAAAAACAGTGTTTTTATATATACACACACCCCCAAAATTGCTCTTTTTCTCCAGCCACACTAATGCTGGCCTATGTTTCAGTGTTATCCAATTTGACTCATTACATTATTTGTTTTCTTAATATCTTTAAATAATTTTCTTTCCAGTCTCTTCTACTAGAAGTAGTACTAACAACATGAACAATGCAATTTGACTTTTGAACCATGAGAATTTGAGTATTGGTATGCTTGTCTTTTCCCTGGTTGTGAATTAATAACATCATGTTACCTAGGGCTGGAAGCTTTCTCAACAGCAATCCCAAATGGGACCATCTCCCAAGCTTCAGATCTTCTAATTAGAGAGGATTCTTTCTGCTCTGTTCCTTGTTCTCTTAATGTTTTGCGATCTCTGGAAAATATTTATCACAAATAATGAGGACTTACAGTGTTATCATAGTCTTTTATAGATCCACTGCATCAGCCTGAGAGGATACACTCATTTTCCTCTTAAGCCATTGTTTGCTTTTTTATTATCTTATTATCTTTAAAAAGGATTTGCTTATGTTCATGACTTTTAAACATTGCAATGACCAATATTTATCATAAATATTAAATGTTTTTTAGTCCATCAACAAGCAATAATATTCCGCTAATGAGGGTCGTACAGTCCATCAAGCACACAAAGAGGAAGAGCAGCACGATGGTGAAGGAAGGATGGATGGTCCATTACACCAGCAGGGATACCTTGGTCAGTAATCACAGGCATTTAAATATGGAAGTGCAACTGTTACGTGCTTTATTTTGTGCATTTTTAAATCAAAATGAGAATGAGATAGATACTTATAAAGAATTTTTAAAAGGCAGAATGCTTAATGTACTGTCTTATAAACTGGTGGAGCAGTAAAGATTCAGAAAGGGTCTAAGGCATAACTCCTTGCAACAAACACCAAATGTATAACCTACGCAAGAAATAATGGATAAGCTGATTCATTACAATTAAAAACTTCTCTATGAAAGACAATATCAGGAGAAGGGAAAGACAAGCCACAAACTAGAAGAAAATATTTGCAAAAGAGATATATGATAAACAGCATATTCTCCAAAATATGCAAAAAAAACCCTTAAAACTCAAGAGACAGAAAACACGATTAAAAAATGAGCACGGGACATTCACATATACCTCACCAACGAAGGTACACAGATGGAAAATAAGCCCATGAAAAGATCCTCTACATTATATGTCATCAGGAAAATTAAAATTAAAATAGCAGGATCCTACTATACACCTAGTAGAATGGTTAAAATCTAGAACACTGACAATACCAATGCTGGAAAGGCAGGGTTGGGAACCATTTTTCTGCCAAGGGCCATTTGGATATCTATAACATCATTTGCAGGCCATACAGAATTATCTACTTAAAAATTAGCCTGCTGTATTTGGTGAAATACTTAACTCACTCCTAATGCCTTGACAGGGCCAGTCCAAATGATTTGGTGAGCTTTGTATGTTCCCCACCCCAGATAGAGAGCAACAGGCACTTCCATTCATTGTTGATCGGAGTGCAAAATGTTACAGCCACTTAAGATGAAAATTTATGTCCGTATAAAAACCTGCAAATGGGTGTTTATAGTACCTTCACTTCTAATTGCCAAAACTTGGAAGCATTCAAGTGATCTTCAGTAGGTGAATGATAAGTAAACTGTAGTTCATCCAGACGATGAAATACTAGGACACAGCCTGAAAAAGCAGTGAGCTACCATGCCATGAAAAGACATGGAGGAACCCTAAATACGTATTCCTAAGTGAAAAGCCAGTGAACAGAATTCAAAGACCAGGAAATACAAGTTACTCTTAAACATAAGAGCTCAATCTAAGGGACAATTTAAAATTTCAATGAATGCCAATTTCTATCAGTTTAGCAAAAATCAAAAGGTTTCGTAACATACTGCACTTGTGAAGATGTGAGTGAACAGGCACTCATGTTGCTGATTAGCCTTTAAATTGGATCAAATGTTTAGCAAAATTACATGTGCTCATACCTCATGACCCAGCAAGCCAATCTTTAGAAATTTAGCCGATAGATAAATTACATGTCTGCGTGTATAATGCACACGTATTTGCGTGTGCATGCATAGCATTCTCTAAAAGGATTTTTCCAAAGCCTGGTAACATTGCTGCATACACATAAAGGTAGGAGCAGTATATGAGCGATGGTAGGAGTATACTTTTCATGATAGAGTAAACCTCAATTTAACAGACTTTGGATTTAACAGACATAATTTCCAGTCCATATGTCATTTGTGAAAATAACTCCCTATTAATTTTAAAATGCTTTTAACCAAGATTTGCATGCAGTTAAATTAACAGGTTATATTTCTTGTTATTTATTCACTGTTATTTTAAACAAATTTTAGTTGAATAGGCCATATGTTGGGAAAAAAACACTAGCAATTTCACCAACATAAATATATATTACATATCTACAATGATAGTCTACATATTTAAATCCACGAGTCGCCACTCGTAAAAGGTGTACCAGCAAATGATTAGCATGTGATCACTCCACATTGCATGTGGTAATTGGTTCTGTTATCCTGTGGTGTGACTTTCTGCAGCAGTTTTAGTATGTGCCAGCCTATGTTCCCATGTGCAATAAGCCATGCCCCAACTGTGTACATTTGTATACTCAAGGCAACTGATGAATGCATGCATTTACAAACCTCTTCAGTATAAATTTTAAATTACAGTTATACATTCATAAAACTTTTATGTGAAATTGAACTTTTTATGCATACTTAATTTTAATCACACAAACATGACTACATAAGTAAAAACAGATAAACAAATTTGTCAATTTTTTAACATACGCATTCGGTAAAACTACTTTATTATATAATGGGCTTTTTGGCTTTACCAGATACTCCTTGTCTGAATTAGTCCATTTTACCAAGGTTTTACTGTCCATCTTTTATATGTTTTCAGAATTTTGAACCTCATGAATTTTAAACCTATTAAATAATACAAATGTACGGATAGGAATGAAAGGAAAAGTGCTTTGGAGGAATTATTATTTTTGAACTTCACATTTTTATATTTATTTTATAGAGAAAGAGGCATTACTGGAGACTTGACAGCAAATGTCTCACATTGTTTCAAAATGAATCTGGATCAAAGTATTATAAGGTAAAGATTCTACATTTTAAAAATATGTACATTAAAAGATTATATGTTTTCCAAATATATCTAAATAATGCTCATTAGTTGTTATATTGGAATCTACCTTTCCTGACTTTGCCTAGGCTAGTTTATGGAAGTTGCTTGTTGAAGTGCCTGTCCCCCACCTGTCCATGTCACCCCCCCAACAGTTCTGCTGCCAAAGCGTGTCTTTCTGTTGTGGTGTCTGTTGTTGGTTTTCCTGTCACGTTGCTGCTGCTTTACTTCTGGTCCCATGACAGATTAAACTGTTTAGAAACTCACATGATCGTGGCCTGTCCAGAACAGGCCAGCATGGTATTGAGTCGGGGTTTCTCTCACCTTCCACTTTACCCGAGGTCCCAATTCCTAAACGCTTCTTTTGTCTCTTCATACACTTTGTATAGTATTCTTTCCTGGGTTTGCTCCACATTTTGCCATGTCACTGACTCACAATAAAAAGATTGTTAAGTGTGGCGATTGTATCAGTAAGGAAGAGTAGAAATAATTGACTTAAAGTTAGTTGGGGAGGGTTAATAACGTTTTTGCCTTATAAAGTGGACTAAATATAAATGATTATTACAGAATGGACAGAACCAAATGGAGTGTTTAAGCCACGTATACTGACATTCGAATTTGCTGCTCTTCTGCTTGGTACTCCTTTTGGGGATGGGGGGGGCGGGGGCAAAAAATAGGTTTACAGTTTTGAGTACATGAAACAGAATTTATTCTTGTATTATTAATTATTGTATTATTTTCCATATGAACAACTGTAAATCTAATTTTGCCCCACCTTGCATTTTGTAGACAGCAGCCTGTAGAGAAGTAGTTGTTGAGTTAATTTAATGATAATTGGGAAGTATTGAATATAGCGGCTGTTGGCTTCCTGTCTTCTCTCTTTCCTTAGATTCCAATGACTTGTAATAGGGCTGAATCACTGGTAGTGCTACTGCATGTTTTTGCCTCTGGCCTCACTGGACATGCAGATCATTTAAGGAAGATACTATCATAAGACTTGACCGTGTGTTCCATGGGCCATATACTTGTGTTCATCTTAAAGCATTTATTATAAATGCATATCGGATTGTTTAGTGTACTAAAAATAGAAAAAGAAGTTTCGTATTTTCTAATGCTTAATTTTTTACTTCAGGAAATTCCACTTTCAGAAATTCTACGCATATCTTCGCCGCAAGATTTCACAAACATTTCACAAGGCAGCAACCCACACTGTTTTGAAATCATCACTGATACTATGGTGTACTTTGTTGGTGAGAACAGCGGGGACAGCTCCCACAATCCTGTTCTTGCTGCCACTGGAATCGGACTTGATGTAGCACAGAGCTGGGAAAAAGCAATTCGCCAGGCTCTCATGCCCGTCACCCCTCAAGCCAGTATTTGCACTTCTCCGGGGCAAGGGAAAGATCACAGTAAGCAATAAGCTTGTTGATGGCTTCCCCCCTAACCCCCTTCCCATTTTGGTTCTTAAGTATTTTGTCGTGTGATCATGCTTTCTGTATATATTTTAATGCTTATTTTAAGCTTTGTCTGGTATAACCAATACCATTAGTTAACTCCTTTGTACAGTTGTGCTGGTTATAGTGTATACATACAGTCCCCTAGAGCTAGACTCTCGGGTCAGTCTTCCTACATTTAAATCCTGGCTTGGCTACCTTGCTATGTGGTCTTGGACAAATACTGTACCTCTCTATAATAGTACCTTCTTTTTAGGGTTGTCAGTATTAAATGAAGAAGAACCTATAAGATACACAGAAGTGTTTAGCATCCATGAATTCTCATTGATTAACTACTGGTATTAGTGTTTTGCTTCATGGTGGGATATAGGAGGCTCTAAAGGGTTATGGTTCACATCGCACTCATGAAATTTGTGAAGTCAGAAATGCTGAATTTCTTTTAACTGAATTAAAACATGCAGAAATATTAAAAAATTATTGAAGCATGTCCTTTGCACCAACAAATTTTGATAAAGGTTTACGTGAACAATCAGAAAGCCGTATTATAATGGCACTTTCCCTCCATTGGCACTATGCTATTTATGGGGAAACATAATTTATTTATTAGAGAAATACAGTATATTTAAGTTGAAACATATCAACCTGTTTCTAAATTAAGTTTTTGGTTTTTTTTTTTCAGATCAGCTGTATTTTGTGTAGCTATTCTTGGCATTATGATAGGACCTGAACTAGAATATAAAAGAAAGCCAGAAAATTTTAAAGCTATTTAAGGAGATAAGACATGTCCACAAGTGTTAGACGGTACATAGAGCAGTAGAGTGCAAAAATGAGTAATGCATCCCTTGAGGAACTCAAATGTGGAATGGAAGAGTAAATAGAGATTTTATGGTAGAAAAATCTGATTTGGACTTTGAGCTTGGATCTTAGGGTAGGCAGGGCTAAATGATAGAGGTGAACAGGGCAGTGTTCTCTAGTTGAGTAGAAAGTGTGATCAAAGGGACAAGGGTAAGTTCATGAACATGTTTGGTGTCTAATATTGATTATTAGAAGGTGAATAGATGTATATTCACAGTGCTCCTTAAGATTGGAGGGATTTTGGATAAAGTAATATATTTGAATGAAAATCATGAACCTTTCCCCCAATATAATATAGGTAGATACACACAAATGTTATAATTGCATTTAGGGACCTTCTCAAGCCCAAACATGGGTAAACCCCCTAGGGTTAAGAGTTTCTAAAAGCAGAATTGGGGAAAGGTTAAAAGTGACATCAAAACTCCAATTCTGCCACTTACTAGTTATGTGATCTTGGCCTCTACATTTCTCTGAAGTGGGAATAAATAAGTGCTCTTCATGCACTTAGCAGTTTCTGACACATTAGTGGCATATTACTGTGTGGCAGCTGCTGATGCTGTTCCTTATCTGGAGCAGAGTTCTCCTGGGAAGCAACAGAAATTAAAACTGGATGGAGTTACATAGTGGAGGCCTTTAAAACAAAATACATACTGACTTAAACTGGGAAACTGGGATTACTGAAAAGCGAGTTTTAGGCACATTGATTTTGTGGATGCTGTACTTTTTTAAAATTAATATTCAACATTTGAAATATTTTCTTTAAAATATATTTTTATTGCTTTCAGAGAGGAAAGGAAGCGGGGAGAGAGAGAGAGAGATAGAAACATCAGTGATGAGAGATGTTGCATGCCCCCTACTGGGATCTAGCTTGCAAACCTGGGCCTGTGCCCTGACAGGGAATAGAACCCTGACCTCCTCTTTCATAGGATGACACTCAAGCTGAAATACTTTTTAGTTGACTAAAATGGAGTTTTTGACAGTCATGTTACTTACTTTTATGTATAGTTTATTTACATTTCCTGGTTAATGAAGTTTTATATTTTTATATTTGCAATTTTATATCTTGTTTCTTTGAGTTGTCTCCAAAGATTTAGATGTTTCATATCTGGTCCTCTTACTTACTCTCCATGTTTCCCTTTCTGTTTTTCTTGTTAATTTCTTATTTTTATTCTCAAAGTGATACAAACATTTAAAATTTGTAGAAATATATAAAATGATAAAATACTCCCTACACACATAAAACATCTCCCCATTCCCAATCCTCCACCTCAGAAAACTATTATTAATAGTTTGGTGTATACTTATTGGTTTGAGAAGAGATTGGGGGAAGGGGCACCTATATTACTGTCTATATCTATAAAAGATTAATATGCTAAGCGTCCAACCGTCTGGCCAGTAGCTATGCACTGACCACCAGGGGGCAAACGCTCAGCACAGGAGCTGCTGAGCTGCAGTGACTTGACAGCAGCAGTTCTTGGGTGACACACCCTGAAACCAGAGAGGAAAGAGCCCAATTCCTTGTAGGGGCCATGTGATTCCACCTTTGGCCGTGGGTCATGTTGTTGCTGGGGCACTGTTGACCCCGAATCTGGTTTACTGCACTCTGGCATTTGTGTTCCACACCTTGTACCACAGCAACTTTGCAGAGTGCCCTCTCGCACTCCGGGATCCCGCGGGGGATGTCAGAGAGCCGGTTTCGGCCTGATCCCTGCAGGCCAGGCCAACGGACCCCACCTACCAAAGGACCCTACTCACTCCGCAGACACCCTTCGAGCCACAGTGCCACCCCAGGTGTGGCCAGCTCAGGAGGGACTGCAGGAGGTTGGCTCCAGCGCATGTCCATCCAGTCTCATCCAGTCCTGCCCAACTGGCCACTTTCTAATTAATTTCCTTTCAATGTGCACGAATCCATCCAGAAATTTAGTGAGATAGATGTTATTCCCACTTTACCAGCAAGAAAATTGAAGCCTAGGAGACTATGAATTATTAGGCTAACTACCATGAGACAGGCTTTGGCTAGGAATATAACACTAAACAAGATAGAGTCCCTAACATCATGGGACTGCAGTACATACCCAACAGAAGGGTGACCTTGACTGAAGAGCAGTACATTGGAGAGTGGGTCAGTAGTATTGTCAAATTTTTATTTTTACCAAAAATGTGGTCATACTCTCTGTTCTTTTTATAACTTTATCCACTATTTAATATATATCAGATATGTTTCAATGTCAATATATCGATTTACCTAATTTTTTATTTTTATGTTAAAGTAATGCCATATGCCTTTTTATGTTTTAAAAAGTAGAGTTTTAGAAGTGTATAAAGGCTATAAAATCTTTGTTTCTCAATTCCACTCTTTCATTGATAGGAAGTAATCATATTTTTGTTTGGTTTTAATTTAATTGCAGCCATCCTGCAACTTACCTTTTTCCATTTAATGATATGTTATGGATAGTTTTCTGATTTAGTACTTACAGCTCTATTCTATCAAAGATTTAGATAATATTCTTTTATATGGATGTACCATATATTACTGAACCAGTTTCCTTTCCTGGATTAGTGTTGCATGTGTATATATATATTTTTTTAACTAATGTAATTACATTATATTAACTGAAAGTTAGCTAGTGGTTTAAATTTACTATACTGTAGGCATTCACATATTTGTAAATATCAATATTGTTAAGTCATATACTAACAGTTTTGTTCTTTTCTCATGCATTATTCTTAATATTTTACAGAAGATTTGTCTACTAGTATCTCCGTATCTAATTGTCAGATCCAGGAAAATGTGGTAAGTAAAAATTACCTGTTTTTTTTTATTCTCGGATTTCACATCCATGGATTCAACCAATTGCAGGGTGAAAACAGTATTTTTGTTCTGTAGTTGGTTGAATCCTCATTTGCAAAGGGCCAAGAATAGTTAAGATTTGGGAAGTCAGAGGTAATATGTTGATTTTTGACTGCGTGGGGGTTGGCATCCCTCATCCCCACATTGTTCAAGGGTCAGCTGCACAGGTTTTTATGTATTAGGCAATGGAAATCTTGACACTTTGTATATATCTGCATTTAATTTACTCAGAAATTTAGTGAGATAGATGTTATTCCCACTTTACCAGCAAGAAAATTGAGGCCTAGGAGACTAAATTATTAGACTAACTACCATGAGACAGGCATTGGCTAGGAATATAATGCTAAACAAGATAGAGTCGCTAACATCATGGGACTGCAGTACATACCCAACAGAAGGGTGACCTTGACTGAAGAGCAGTACATTTGAGAGTGCCACACCCCAAAGAATTTTTTGACAACTACCACCATTATTTAAAAAAAGAAAAAAAAAAGAAAAGAAAAAGGAAGGAAGGAAATGAGAGGGAGGGCAGGGATAAGTTGAGGAGTGGATTTTTGAGTTACAGACTTTCCTTTTCATCAGTCTTTCCAAATTAGCCTAATCTTAATATGAACCTTGTGTGTGTGTGTGTGTGTGTGTGTGTGTGTGTTTTCAAATTAAAGATAACAAATCTCTTTAATACTAAAATAGGTAAAACTTTGTTCTTAATTTTTATATTAATTTACTTTTTTAGATCACTACTTAATAAATATAAGATTTTTTTTTAATTCAAAGCATTTCTTCCTAATGGTCTTCTTACAGTATACATTATACTTGCACATTGAGAATGACAGTATGAAAATTAGGCTTACTTTTCTAGACCGTACAAAGCCAATGTTTCATAAAATATTGATATGAAAATTAGTAGCCTGTGTCATAAAAACAAAAATGTATTTAAGTGTTTTAAGAGTCAGAGATGTTGATAATGCTTTGTAAGGGTAAATTATACTTACTGCTTACTCTTTCCTAAATAGGACATCAGTACTGTTTACCAAATCTTTGCAGATGAGGTGCTTGGTTCAGGCCAGTTTGGCATCGTTTATGGAGGTAAGTGACTACAGCCATTTACATATAGTACATACCATAGAAACATTGTGAAATTTTAAAACATCCGCCAGCTATTACGTCTTGTCACAATTAAGTAGCAGAAAAAATAAGAAAATTAGTTTCACAGTAGCCTTTATCTCTTTCTGTAGCTCGCACATATTTGTGTATGAAAAATAAATGGTTTGAAATTATGCCTGTTCATTGAAGTATATGTCCTACTGGTTTTCCAACACAAAGGAGACCATTTGTCTACTGTTTGCTCTGTGATTTAGGAAATTGGCAAAGTCATTTAACCTCACTGTGCCTCAGAATCTTCATCAATTTAATGGAGCTAATAAAAGCTGATGTGCAAGCTCACATGGTTGTGAATATTAACTTAATGTATAGAAGGGTACTTGATAAGCTTTAACAAAAGATATGTTAAACCCTTGTCATCCTTTGCTAAGACCACGACAAGTAGTCTCCTAGTTGGCCTTACTGCCTCCAGGCTTGCTCTAACGTGGTTAAATCACTCACTGATTCTAGTGAGCCTAGAATAAAATTAATCCATTGGTACAATGTTTCCATCTTGACAGAGTCTCTAAATGCCAGTTAACTATCATTTATTTAATAAGGTAGATTATTTTTCATCAAGTTGATTCAAATTTCCTACCATTTCAAATAATAAAACTCCCTTTATTGGGGTCAAATAATTTATTTCTCAAAATTAAAGGTGAGAGAACAAAATGAGCCAAAGAAACATAAGAGTAAATTCATATAAATTTCAGTCTGTGGGCAACTTTGAGATAAAGCTTTTGTATTGCATGTGAACTGTCAATTTGCTTCTTTATTTTCTATACTTTTTTAAAAATAGGAAAACATAGGAAGACTGGAAGGGATGTGGCTATTAAAGTAATTGATAAGATGAGATTTCCCACAAAACAGGAAAGTCAACTCCGTAATGAAGTGGCTATTTTACAGGTAAAAAAAAAAAAGCTGCTTTTCAAGGGTTTTAATTTTTGATTTATGAATTTTAAATCAAAGACTGTTCAATATACTGTTAAAAATAAGATTTGGGATTTTGTTTTGTTTTGGTCTCATGCCTTTTTGGCTTAGTGAGAGGGTGGTAAACATCTGAATTAACTCCTTAAGTTCTTTTGTAAAAAGGAAAAATTAACAGTAAATCAGGAGTTACAAAGACTGCCATTATTTTGCTCTATGGTAGTAATTTATTTAGAAGACATTTTCACAAGTAAAATCTTTAAAAAACATTCTATTCTTAATATATCACAATTCTCACAGATTAGGTTCTTGACTATTATAGCAATTATTATAAAAATAAAGACTTCTTAAAAATTATTTACCTTTAGCCCGGCTGGTGTGGTTCAGTGGTTGTGTCGACCTATGAACCAAGAGGTCACAGTTATATTCCCAGTTAGGGCACATGGGCCAGGTTGCTGGCTCAGTCCCCAGTAGGGAGTGTGCAGGAGGCAGCTGATCAATGATTATATCATTGATGTTTCTAGCTCTCTATCTTTCTCCCTTCCTCTCTCTGAAATCAATAAAAATATGTTTTAAAAGCTTTTACTAAATAACAGTGGTAGTTATTATTTTATTAATTCAAAACTCTAAAGAATTAACTTATTAATGTCTTAATCCATTAAGGTATATTTTAAAAAATATATTGGCAGTGAGTTAAATCCCATAAAATAAATTACTATGTGTTTTTCAAAATACATTTTTTATTGATTTTAGGGAGAGAGAGAGAGATAGAAACATCGAGAAACATGGATTGGCTGCCTCCTGCACATCCCCTTCTGGGGATCCAGCCCTCAACCAGGGCGTGTGCCCTGTCTGGGAATTGAACATGCAATCTCCGGGTGCCTGATGGGTTGATACTCAACCACTGAGCAACACTGGCTGGGCTACTGTGTGTTTTCTTTTAACATTTTTACCTTTTGGGAGTCACCAGGGGGTAAGATTTAGTTTTATCTTTTTAATTTTTCTGATAAATGTTTATCTTATTTAAGTATTTATCTTAAATATTTATTTTTAAAAAATATTTAATATATAAAACAGTATGCAACATTTAATACATAACATGCAAGTTTCTATCAATTCAATGTGTAGCTTTTGCACAACATTCTAGAAATCATGGTGATGTGATAGTTAAAGCTGTCAGCGCCCAATTTGCTTGTGGGTGAAGTTCAAGAAGACATTCTCACTAAACTTACGGTTCCTGGAAGAAGGTAAGAAATTTATAAACACATAACTAATTATACATTTATTATACTATTGGTCACTAGTAATAACCTTTGTCTCACTTTTTTTTCAGAGGAGTGATAATCAAAAGATTGGTCTACAAGCTACCTGTGTTCACTTCAAGGCTCCTCCTGCAAAGAAAGTTACCCTAAATGAGATGTTAGCATTCACACTCTGTGTTAGGCTATGCTACATGATTAAGAGATCTTTTTTCATATTTTATTTTGGAATCTTTCTCATCCAACTAATATGCAAAAATAAATAAAGATTAAGGATATATTCCTAAAGCTTGATTTCTTGATGTCATTTTTTATCATAAACACTAAACCTCTTTTCCTTTATGTTAGCAACTCTGGATCATGGTAACGAATAGGAATTTCTAGATAGTGCACAATGTAAAAACTATTAGTGTATCCTTCTGGTTATTTTGCTTGAAATTGCCCAACTGTGGGGATTAAGTAATTGTAACATGTTTCCAAATATAATATTGTCATCTTAAATTTAATTCAATACTATGTTTGTGGTAGATTCTCTTCAAATTATTCATATAAAATATTTTCGTTTTTATATTTAGTAAATGGTGTATTTGTGTCATAAACTATACTTAATTTTTCTCAAATTCACGTAGCAGGAAGATGCTCCATGAAACAAGAGATATTTATCAGTTTTGTTGACTGATAATTCAAACTAGTACCTACGTAGTACTAGGCATATAGCAAGAATTCTTATTATTTGTTGAATAAATGTATTTATGTGGGGAATTACTTAGAACATACTAAATTTTTAAAAAGGAAGCATGAAATGATCCATTTGTATAAATTCTCATAGGGGATGTGCAGGAGGCAGTCGATCAGTGACTCTCTTATATAATGTGTATACTATATATGATGATAAACAGTTATGTGCAGAAAAGGATTCATACCTGCATACACTGTCAACATTGTCTCATCTGGGAGCATGGGACTTTTACTTTCATTTCATAGTGATGGTAATTTCAGAGTAATGTTAAGTGTTTCTTTGGTTGTTGCCTGAGGTAGAAAAGGGGTGGTGCTGAGAAAACGTTATCACAAACTTAAGCAGGAACTTTCTGTTTTGAATATTGTGTTACAAAGTCAGCATTTTCCCCTTCTTGGGAGTCATTCTGAATTTTTCATACAGTATTCTGAATTTCACTGCTACTGCCATTAATTATTCACTGTGGGCTATTTCACTTCTGTTTATAAAATTTTGTCACTTTTTATTTTGCTGCTTGTAAGATTATGGTGTTTTAAGTTGATTAGTAAATTGGAACATTAAATTGTTTTAGGTTGATAAGCAAACAATATTTTGTGCTTCTTAGTCATTTTCTTAAACATTTTAAAAAAGAACAATCATGAATTAGACATTGATTTAAAATGACTAAGACACAGTCTCTGCCCCTAAGGAGCTAATGAGGCTACAGAGTGAGATACATACACATACATTGTGGTACCATGGGATGAATATTGGGGGAATTGAGATGATGGTGGATTTAAAAACATTTTAGAGATGGAGCTCAACTTCAGATAGACCCCCCAAAAAAGTTTGCCCTCTTAGCGTAATTAAGTACCCATGATAAGGATGAACAGCATAAAAATATTTCTATTCATAAGAAATTAAGAGTTTAATTACTTGAGTCAATGGAGCATATGTAAGATGAATTGGGAGAATGAAGTCATATTTTTTAAGATCTTAAAATCCCAGCAGAGGAATTACGATGTATGCCCAGAAATAAAGTGCTATTTGAACATTTTTGAGCATGGGTGACTTCTCAAGTTTGCTTTAGAGGAACTCCCCCAGTAAGATAGGTTACTCTTTATTAGCAGAAACAGTATCACATTCATCTTTGTGTTGTCTCCAGCCCTGGTAACATAAAGTACTCAAGTAGAGATAGAAAGATGCTGAGTCTAAACAATGGAAGACCGAATCGACCTATAACATAATGAAAATCAAGACTTGGATAAATAATTACCTTAAAAAACAAAACCATCTCTTGAGCAAAGACCTTCACAAATACTTGTCCCAAAGAGTTCTGTTGTAATTAGCTAAAATTTGGCAAGTGGTGCTTATTCGTGTATAGCATAAAGTTAGTATCAGAAGATTGAAAAGGTGAGAAAGAAAAGAATGGACAAGGGCAATTATATAATCAAGTTGGGGAGGTACTCTTTCGCCTCAGTGTATCAGCTCTCCATAATTTGGAAAAATCATAATGTATTTTGTTTGCTTTCATTGCTTATTTTCCTAAGCTGTTTTTCTTCCTTTTCCATGTATTCCCTACAATTAATCCTGCACCTCTTCAGAATTTGCACCATCCTGGGATTGTAAACCTGGAATGCATGTTTGAAACCCCAGAACGCGTTTTTGTAGTAATGGAAAAGCTGCATGGAGATATGTTGGAAATGATTCTGTCCAGTGAGAAAAGTCGACTTCCAGAACGAATTACTAAATTCATGGTGACACAGGTATCTGAGCCGTTTTTTTAAACTAGAGAATAATTTTTTGACAGTGAAAGAACTGCTTAGTTTTCATTTTACTTGTATCCTGTTTTAGAAGCAGTTTTTTTTATGTTAGCATTGTTTCTTTTTTAAATTGTTCAATTACACTTGACACAATATCATATTAGTTTCATGTGTACAACATAGTGATTAGACATTTACAACATTTACAAAGTGGTCACCCTGATAAGTCTAGTGCCCATGTGACACCATACATAGTTGTTCCAATATTATTGGCTATGTTCCCTATGCTTTATTTTATTTTTTACCTTTTAGTTAAATATATTGGGGTGATTAGAAACTACACAAAATAATTAAATAGTAATGTATGTATTTTACATATTCCTAATGTGGGAATTGCTAATCTTGAAGAATAGAATAACACAATTAAATCTTGATGAACTATAGTTGGCTTTTCAAATTACTGTATCGTTCAACAGGTTAGACTGGGACTTAGCTATTATTTTTCCAGGCATGGAAAAAAAAATGTTTTCTTTCAATAACAGATCCTTGTTGCTTTGAGGAATCTACATTTTAAAAATATCGTGCACTGTGATTTAAAGCCAGAAAATGTGCTACTCGCATCAGCAGAGCCGTTTCCTCAGGTGAGGTGTTCTCCAAACCTTCTTTATCATTTTAAGTGACAAAGTACCTACATTAACAAAAAGCCATGCTGTAAGTTCAAGTATAGAACCATTTCACGGAAATGGTTTTCAGCCTATAACTGTCTGTAAGGTTTAATATCTGAATAGTTTGAATTCAGATTTTGCTAATTATATTGTTCATTTTTTTTTTTAATTTTTTAAATCAATCTTTATTGTTCATATTATTACAAAGGTTCCTCATTTCTTCCCCCCTCCACCCGGTTCCCACCCCACCCTCTGCCCCCTCCCCATCCCCCATTGTCCTCATCCATAGGTGCAGTTTATGTTCAGTCTCTTCTTCCCTCCCTTTCCCCAATAGTAAATCCCTTTTCAGATAGTAAATCAGTTACTTAGCATTTTCTCATATCAATAATACCTCCACATGCCCAATGATACACTTCACACAAAAGACATTTCCCAATAGGTCCACCAGCCTCATCCAGGCCCCACCCAAGGCACTCACAGATCAGCACCCCAGTCCTAAACTAACTCAACACATCCAGATCTAAGCCTTCATCACTTGATTCAGCGGACCCTCAAGTTCCCATGAAAATTTCCAGCCATGTCTGAGAAGCAGCCGTGGGGCAGGGGCAGGCAAGGAGCGAGCTGTTCCGGGCCTGGCTGCTCAGGGCCTGGCCTCTGTTGCTCTGGTTCATTCCACAACCAGCTGCTCCGGGTCTGGTCACTGCCGCTCCCGACCTAGTTGCTCTGGACTTGGCTGCTGCTGCTCCGGGCCTGGCCGCTCCCAGCCTGGCAGCCGCTGCTCCGGGCCTGGCCGCACCCGACCCGCCTGCTCCCCCGGGCCTGGCCGCTCCCAGCCTGGCAGCCGCTGCTCCGGGCCTGGCCGCACCCGACCCGGCTGCTCCCCCGGGCCTGGCCGCTCCCAGCCTGGCAGCCGCTGCTCCGGGCCTGGCCGCACCCGACCCGCCTGCTCCCCCGGGCCTGGCCGCTCCCAGCCTGGCAGCCGCTGCTCCGGGCCTGGCCGCACCCGACCCTCCTGCTCCCCCGGCCTGGCCGCTCCCAGCCTGGCAGCCGCTGCTCCGGGCCTGGCCACACCCGACCCGCCTGCTCCCCCGGGCCTGGCCGCTCCCAGCCTGGCAGCCGCTGCTCCGGGCCTGGCCGCACCAGCCCCGCCTGCTCCCCCGGGCCTGGCCGCTCCCAGCCTGGCAGCCGCTGCTCCTGGCTTGGCCGCACCTGACCCGGCTGCTCTGGGCCCAGCTGCTCCGAGCCTGGCCACTCCCGACCTGGATGCTCTGGGCTTGGCTACTGCTGTTCTGGGTCTGGCTGCTCCCACCCCGGCTGCTCTGGGCCCGGCTTCTCCGGGCCCGGCCACTCCAGGTCTGGGTGTTCCTGGATTGGTCACCCTGGGCTTGGCCACCTCCGCCTCATGCCTGGCTGCCACTGCCCTAGGTCTGGCTGCTCCAGTGCTGGCTGTTGATGCTCTGGTTCTGGCTGCTGTTGTTCTGGGGCCTGGCCGTTGCTGCTCCGGGTCTGGCTGCTACTGCCTTGTGCCTGGCCACTCTAGGCCTGGCCGCCGCTGTTCCAACATTCTGTCTTTTTTTTTTTTTTTCTTTTTTCTTTTTAAAACGCATTTCTGTTGCAATGTTGGCTGGTGAGTTGAGTTCTGACTTAGTTTTTGATTTTTCAAGATCTTCTTTGTATTCTTTCTTAAGTAATTTTACTATTTTTTGCTCTCACTTGATTTCTTCACATTGAGAACTTCTTTGGTTTCTTCCTGCTTGTCCTGGGAGCTCAGCAGGTTGGCCTGTGGCACCCCTTTGTTCTCCGCGGGCTCCTGCGCTGCTTCAGCCTGTTGCCGGGACAGCGCCGCCCAGGAAGCAGCCCCCGGCCTTGGCTCCATTGCCCGAGCTCAGTGGTCAAAGGCTCAGGGGCACCCACGCCCCCAGGGGCCCCATGGCCCGCCTCCTTGCTGGTGCCAGGTTGGCTGGAGTCCGGCAGGGGCTTCCGCTCCCCTCTGCGTTCCCCCAGCCTAGAGCTTTTTTTTTCTCCTTTCCGCTAGAGAAGTCCCGCATCAGAGTCAACAGACTGTCCTCTGCGCGCAGTTTGCGCGAGTCCCGGGGGCCTGGCCTTTCGCGCTCTCCCCAGATTCCACCTCACAGCCCCGTCTCCCTCTGCCTGAGTCTGGGTCCCCAGGGATTAGCCCAGAACTGGGGTTCGGAGCAGTCCGGACTGAGGCTCAGCGCCGCCGGAGGCCTTGTTTCTTCCGGCTAGGGCAACCCAGCATCAGAGTCAACATTCAGTCCTCTGCGCGCATTGCGCGCGACTCCCGGGGCCCTGCCTTTCGCCGTTTTTCCGCCTCACGGCCCCGTCTCCTCCCGCCGGAGCCTGGGTCCCCAGGGTCTGGCCCATAACTGGGGCTCAGCGCTGCCGGTTCGGGGGCGCTCAGTGCTGCCTGTTCGGGGGTTCAGCCTAGGCTCTATATTGTTCATTTTTATGAAAGACTTTCTAAATTTAACCAGAGCTCAAGGAATACCTTCTACACGTAGACTGTTTGCAGTTCACCTCTCCTTCAGGGTTGGGAATGAAGTGGGGGAGAATCAGCCTAGGTAGGTGCTTGTTGCTGAGGACAAAACCACCTGAGGGGAGACCCTGCATTGGAAGACACTAGGTTATGATTATCTAGTTGGCAGGAAGCCAGTTCCTCTTGCTCTTTAGAATATTATATTTCAAGTATTTTCACCAAAACCTAGGTAAGAATTACATTTCCCATCAGCACCAGTGCTCAAGCACATAGAATACCGTTGGTGCACTATGTGTGATGCACTGGTTTTTTGGAGTTTTTTTTACTCAGTTAAATTTCATTTCATTAAAAAATGTTGATCTTGATCCAAATTTATTTCACCACCTAAAACTGAATCATGACCCAAAGTTTGAAAATTTTTTCCTGAGAAATATGTTGGCAATGCCTATGAATGTTTTTCACGATTGTGTCATTGATGAACCTTCCAAACAGCTAGAATATCTGCTGCCAAACTATTGTTTAAGTACATTTAAAACATGTACAACTAGACAGATGCCTAGAATAAAAACAGCAGATGGCTATTGTACTTGGTGAATTCAACTCAAAATGTCTTTCAAAGAAAAGAAAGTATTAAAAATGATTTAACCTTTTTACTTTTAAAGAAGTGATCATATTCTTTCTTTCATAATGCCTAAGTGGTTAAAAGTTATTCCTTATCAGTTGGCAAGTGTGATACACTATCATTTAGGGATAGGTTAGCTAGATAGATAATGTAGAAGAATATATAATTAACACCATCCTCTGAATTGCAGGTGAAGCTGTGTGACTTTGGTTTTGCACGCATCATCGGTGAAAAGTCATTCCGGCGGTCTGTGGTAGGAACTCCAGCGTACTTAGCCCCGGAAGTTCTCAGAAGCAAAGGTTACAACCGTTCTCTAGACATGTGGTCAGTGGGAGTGATTGTCTATGTGAGCCTCAGTGGCACATTTCCTTTTAATGAAGATGAAGATATAAATGACCAAATCCAAAATGCTGCATTTATGTATCCACCAAATCCATGGAAAGAAATTTCTCTTGAAGGTAAAAAAAAATAAAATGTTTAGCTCTATGCCTTTTAGTCTAAAAATCTTTGTGACCCCCTATCAGCCTTTTTTTTTTTTTTTTTACTTCTTTTATATCTCCTATTCACCTTCCAAATTCCATTAGTTACCGGTTTTTGAGCACAGGCATAGCACTACTCCAGGCCCCACTTGGCTCGTTTTGAACCACTAAAATCTCTGTCCTTTCTGCTCATCACAGGCAAATGCATCTTCAGGAAACACTTTACCCTATTGTATATTCTTGCCTCAAATATTGACTATAAAGGCATTGATTTATTTCTGGGATTTGTTTTGTGCCACTGATATGTATGTCTGTTTTTATACCAGTACGATGTTGTTTTGATTATTATGGACTTATAGTATAGTTTGATATTAGGTAGAATAATTACTTCCAACTTTGTTCTTCTTTCTCAAGATTTGGAGTCTTTTATAGTTCCATATACATTTTTGGAATATTTGTTCTAGTTCTGTGAAATACACCACTGGTATTTTGATAGGAATTGCATTGAAGCTATAAATTGCTTTGGGTAGTATGGAAATTTTAACAATGTTAATTATTCCTATCAGAGTCTATACTTTTAACTTGTATTTTTATATTGCCTCCTTAACAAAAGATATGCTGTAAATTCAGTAAACAGTTTCATGGGTCACTAACATGTTAGCTTAAAGGCCATTTCCTTGATGGGAAAAAAATTCCTCAACCTTCTATGTATTTCTATGGATTAAACTGCCTTCCAGGCAGTGCCACAGGTTTGGGGTGCTTTGTACTCCCAAATTCATGCTTCTAATTTTGTATTTGCCTTAGCAATTGATTTGATAAACAACCTACTTCAAGTGAAGATGAGAAAACGTTACAGCGTGGACAAATCTCTTAGTCATCCGTGGCTGCAGGTAAAAAAAAAAATGCGTCTCTCTTGTCAAACCTCACTCGAGCAGATCATTGTGATTTCTCTTACCTAATGAAATTACTGTAAGATCAGCAGGCTCTACACATCTTAGAATAACGCACGTGTTCTCTAGTGATTAACATGTTCTGTGGCTGAATCTCTGAAAGTTACTGCAATACGCCCCTGAAGTGCAGAACTGATAGGCAATTAACGCCCATAAACTGAAAGCAGTGAATTTGCCTTTCATGCTTTATGTGTTTAGTTCACTTTTTTGTACAGTGAGCTTAACACATTATTTTCAAGTATATTTTACTTCTAAATAAATTTCTATTCAAAGGTCTATTTGCATTGAAGAGATTAGAAATGCCATTTTAAACATTTGCCTTAATTCATCCAAAATTTATTGTATAGATTTTTTAAAAGTTAACCCTAAACTTCAGTATAAAGAGAGAATCATTAAAACTATTGTAAAAGCAGTGAGGAGTATAATTAACTTAGAAACAAATCATTTGTAATTATTCTCAGGGCCTATTAAATTATCCTGATAATAGATTCTAGCTAAACACTTCCTCCTATTTTAAGGAGTAAGTCATAGACCTCGTATAGTAAAAAACAATGTTTTTGTGATTAGCCTCCTCAGAAGCCTGAGACAATTTTTTTTAACTTTAGAAACTAATTTCTTCATATTCAGTCTGAAAAAGTATCTATCTTTAACATTGATAATTTAAAATATTACAAATGGAACTTAGTTTATAGCAAGTACTTATGAGTAGGAGCTAGTCAATTATATGATTATACTAGAGTCCCGGTACACAAATTTTGTGCATGGGGTGGGGGGAGGGTGTGCCTCAGCCCAGCCTGCTCTCTCTCCAATCTGAGGTCACTCTCACAATCCAGGACTGCTGGCCTGTCTGTCTTACTGAATGCCCCTAACCGCTTCTGCCTGCCAGCCTGATTGATGCCTAATTGCCCTCCCCTGCAGGCCTGGTCACCCCTAACTGCCCTCCCCTGCAAGCTTGATCACCTCCAACTGTCCTTCCTTGCAGGCCTGGTCCCCTGTTGGCCATCTTATGTCCACTTGGGGGCAGTCATCTTTGACCACAAGAGGGCAGCCATCTTGTGTATTGGAATGATAGTCAATTTACATATTATTTTATTAAATAGGATTAATGGGACAGAGGCCTGGTGCATGGTGCGGGCAGGCTGATTTGCTCTGAAGGGTGTCCTGGATCAGAGTCGGGGTTCCCTTAGGGTGTGAGGCAGCCTGGGTGAAAGTCCTGTGGTGGTTTGCAGGCTGGCCATGACCTCCCCCCCCCCCCCCCCAAATGACCAAAGCAGAGGTTCTGGGATCTGGGATTTATCTTCTATAATTGAAACTTTGTAGCCTTGAGCAGAGGCCATTGCAGGTGGAAAGCTTGGCTTCCTCCTTTGCTGGGGAAACCCAAGTCTCCTGCTTTTTCCGTGGTCAGAGCCATCTTGGTTGATTTAATTTGCATACTTGCTCTTAATTGGCTGGTGGGCATGGCTTATGGGTGTAGCATAGGTACAGTCAATTTGCATATTTCTCTTATTAGATAGGATGGTGGTAAAAAAAAAGTTGACGGATTTTGTTTCTTTTATAGTTCATAGTCCCTTTATTATTATTATTATTTTTTTTTTTTTTTAGGACTATCAGACTTGGCTTGACCTTAGAGAATTTGAAACTCGCATTGGTGAACGTTACATTACACATGAAAGTGATGATGCCCGCTGGGAAATACATGCGTACACACATAACCTTGAATACCCAAAGCACTTCATCATGGCTCCTAATCCAGACGACATGGAAGAAGATCCTTAATTATCAACGAGCTAACTTCAAATAAGGAAAGATTTCATTTTATGGACTGATATTTTGCTGCACAACTGTTGTTCTTTGGAGGCTGTCATCTGCAAGGACGCAAAGACATGAGGAAATGTGATAAGAAACCAGTGACACCAGTACTGTAGTTCATGAGTAGGTACAAGAGGGGAAACAGTGATAAAGACATATAATGACACCAAGCTTTTCATAAATTTTTAGAGCATAAGAAATAACTTTTTTTGTATTTTTTTCCTAATCCTTCACTTTAGTACAATAGTGGCACTTAATTTATCTTCCCTTTCCTGTTCTTATGTTATTTTCAAGAAAGGGGACAGATGGGCAAGCTAGGATCCAGTTATTACATAGCTTGACCAAATCATACAAGAGTTATAAGGTTGATTACTAAACAAATTTAAAGAGATATCAGAGAGGCTGCTGGCATATGATTTCCTATAAAGATTTTAAACATTTACCATATTTTCCGGCGTATAAGACGACTTTTGAAAGGGAAAAAAAAGTCAACCGAAAATTGGAGGCAAAAGACTAAAATTGCACAAAAATTACCTGCAGATCTTGACAGCAAAGTAAGTCTTTTCTTTGAAGTGGGGGGTAGTCTTATACAGCGAATATAGGCCTAAACCTATGTTTTAACTGTAAAATTAGGGGGTCGTCTTATATGCCGGAAAATACAGTATTTAGCTGACCTTAGAGGAGGGTTTTTTTATATCCACCTAAAGGAATGCTGGACTATTTACCTTTCTTTTTTAGGTCAATCAGGACTCTAAAACAGTGATCTCTAACTGTTTGGGAGTTGAAACTCTGAATATGCTCTCTACAACGTAAAAATTAAGTTGTCACCTTTTGTTATAATAGCCTCTAAGGTAATTTTGGACAACTGATGCTACAAAACCAGGAACTGCTGATCTGAGTAATGAGTTACTATGTATATCTTCTCACAGCTCAACTCTGCTGCTAATAAATTATATTCCCACTGATACCACTATAATGCCACAATTAGACTCCAGCATCCAATGGGTATAGCTCTAAACTATAATTATATAATTTATCTTAACACAGGGTTGACTAATTTGAGGGAGGAAATTAAATATATACTAAAATTAATACCAGTGCAAGGTCAGTTAAAACTATAGGAAAGAATAGCAAAGAGTGTCCTTTTTTTTTCTTCCCTTAGCTTATTGGAAGGCTGTGCAGATGTCTAGAATGTTTTTAAATCAGTTATTTTAAACAATTTGGGTTGAGCATAAAACCCTTAGAAGGGTAGGGCTATATGACCAGCAGAGCAAATGAAAGGATAAATATTTTTAAAACATTTCAATTCCTGCAGCCAGCTAAATAAGTTTTTTCTACTCAGATATGTGATGTAAGAGATTAGACTTCTTAGCTTTTTAAAAATTAATAATTTTTCCCCAAAAAATTTTTAATATCTGGGACTTATAAAATCAATGACTTTTTGTTTCTTCATTAATCATTGTAAACTCCCCCCCCAAAAAAAAAAAAAAAAAAGAGCAGAAGATTTGGAATTAGATCGGGTTTAAGTCTTACAATCTTGGCTCCCTTTATTAGTTATGTTGGTCTGGCCAGGTGACAATTTGTCTGAGCCTGGAGTTCCTCAACCTACAAAATGAAGATCATAATTCTTGCCTCTACCTTCCTCACGGTGTTGTTTTAAAGATGTTATATATGAATAAGCTAAAAACTATAAAAGTGTTTATTGTCACTGCCCACTGAACTAGAGGTAGCAAAGGAAAAGATTGTTCCTCTTTTAACGAAGAGTCAGAGAACTTTTCACAATCTTTGAGTAGTAGCAAACATGCAGTGTTGCTATGTTTTGAGTTCTTTAGATGTTACCTTCCACTCACAACAGTCATGAGCTGAGTGCATAATGAGCCCCATCTCACAAACAGGGAAATTGAGGCACCGGGAGATTAACTAGCTGCTAACGTTCACCCGGTTAGTATTTGAACCCACACAGTGTGGCTCTAGAGTCCCCTCTGACCGTTCTGTCATACGGCTTCCCCATAAAGGTCTCCGGGAGACAGTCCACGTCCCTCAGTATTTCACTCTCAGATTCTACAAAACCTTTTAGAAATGTGTTTTCCCTAGGATAGATGGCTTCCCCAAATTTCTCCAAAGTCTGTTTATATCAGTGTGCTAAAAAGGAGTCAGTAGGCATCCGATTATGGTTTTACTACATAAGGTGAAAATTAACTGGAATGGTATTTGCTATACTTATATAATCAAATGATACAAGCCATGAAATTAATGCACTCTTTTTGTTGTTGAATGCCTAAAAAGTTTTCTAAATTTGTAAAGGCACTGTCAGATAATTTGGAGTTGAGTAATTACTCCAGAAACTGTATAACCTGCATAACCTTTTTTTGTCTTGAAATCAGTTGTGTTTGTATAAAAAATTGTGAGAAACATTTGATAATGTACAAAGTAGTCTATAATGACACTGTTCAGTACATTTTTATATTTTTTGTTACATCCCACTTTTTGTAAATATCCTCAAAAAAGCTTAATAATAAAATGTATTTCCATATCACCATACTTTTCCATGTAGAAACCTGAGCCTATCTCTAGTCGAGATATCCAAAGAAAATTTTATTTGGTTGTGTTATTTCCCCAGGCTTTGGTAAGAGAACTATTTTGGAAATAGTATTTGTAAATGGAACTAATGCTATATTTAAGAACAATGATTTTTTTAACTGCCTAAAATAAATAACTCATTATTATAATTTGATATGCAATTTGAGGTAATTAGAGGTCTCATTTCTTGGAATTGAAGTCTGATTTTTAGGCACTACCTTTAAATCATCCACTACTGCAGCTACCAGAAGGTTTTAACTAATACCTAATACCAAGTGAATTTCCTAGGTTTCACGATAGAAGGCATTGCCTGACTCAAGTTTTCCACAGGCTTTCTTACCTTCTAAAAATTGTCCCAACCAAGACTTTGAGGGGGAAAAAAATCATGGAAATAGAATAAGGGTGGCTAAGAATGGCCCAAGGCTGGACAGTATGAAAAAATAAGGCCTCCATGTTCTTTTACTTTAGAATGACACACAGAACGCTAATCCCGTTCTCAGTTAAGCGGAAGAAGCAATAAAAAGCAAGAATTCATCACTGCCCATGAACTCCAATACAGTTCAAGACACATGGCTAATATCCTTTTCCTTTAATCTCACTTGTAAATTTGTGTTGCTAAAATAGCACTTCTTCAGAAAGTCCATGTGTCTGGTATTAATATAAAAGTCTGTGAACTAAAACATGAGAACTTAATAAAACTAAAACTAGACACTTATCTGAAAATAAGGGAGAATTGGCTCAATTTGGAAACTTATACCTCCTAGGTAGTCTACATTTGACTCACATTGTAAATACATGCTTACTGGTTTTACTGTTATTTTCAAACTTTTTAAAACCTAATTTTATTTTTAATTATAAAATTCCCAGAAGCCTGTGGTAAAAAATCCAAATACTTCAAAAGAAAACAAAGGAAAATGCTCTTTCCACACCTAAGACCCTCTTCTAGATTGGGAAATTTAATAGTGATTATTGGACATCCTTTCCTTTTATACTACTAGTATCACAGAACAGAAAACCAATCTGTACTAAAATATTCATTTCTGCGGAATTATAAGCATTTCCTTAAATGTAGCTTTTCTTCAACAAAAATGGAATCATAACTAAAACATTTTGCACCCTACTCTTTCCACTTAACAAATCTCAAGATATATTTTCATGTCCGAACGTACCACTTTACATGATTTAAAAACATATACTAGATCTATTTAATCAGTCCCCTGTAAATGGCCGTTTAGGTTGTTTCCAGTGTCCAAATAAAATAAAAATATAGCAACTAGCTTTATTTACTAAAAGAAACTCAGTTTCACACGTAAGAACGCATATGTGTTCCCAGAGTTAAAATAACTCAAAAGGTTAACGTTTAGCCCTAGCCAGTTTGGCTCAGTGGATAGACAAGAGTATCGGCCTGTGGACTGAAGGGTCCCGGGTTCGATTCCGGTCAAGGGCACATGCCTGGTTTGCAGGCTCAATGCCCAGTGGGGGACATGCAGGAGGCAGCCAATCAATGATTCTTATCATTGATGTTTCTCTCTCTCTCTCTCTCTCTCCCTCTCTGAAATCAAGAAAAAATTTTTCAAAAAAATAACTTTAAAAGATTAGTGTTTAGCCCTAGCCAGTTTGGCCCAGTGGATAAGCCTCAGCCTATAAACTGAAGGGTCCCGGGGTTCTTGTCAAGGGCACATACTCGGTTGTAGGCTCAATCCTTGTCCTGGTTGGGGCACATGCAGGAGGCAACCAATCAATGTCTCTCTCTCACATTGATGTTTCTCTCTCCTCCCTTCCATTCTCTCCTAAAATAAATGGGAAAATATCCTTGGGTGAGGATTAACAAGGAAAAAAATTTGATTAACATTTAGCTGGCTGTATCTACCTACCTACCTATCTAAAAGGCTAAGCGACCGTCCAACCATCTGACGGGGAGCTATGTTGCGCAATGACCACCAGGGGGCAGACGCTCAACACAGGAGCTGCCAAGCTGTAGTGACTTGGCAGCGGCAGTTCTCATGTGACACACCCTGGAACCAGAGAGGAGGGAGCCTGATTCTGGGGTGCGTCACCCAAGAACCGCCCTTGCAATCCGGGACCCTGAGGGGAACGTCAGAGCCAGTTTCGGCCTGATCACCACATGCCAGACCAAGGGACCCCACTCCCCAGGTGCCCTACGAGCTGCAGTGCCACTCAGCCAGGGAGGGACCACAGGAAGTTGGCTCTAGGGTGTGTCCAGCCCCTCTCACTCAGTCCAGCCCCACTGGCCACCTTTCAATTAATATGTGAACGAATCTGTGCACCAGGCCATTAGTTGTATATAAGATGGGCTGTTTTTATTGGCTGTGAAGAAATAAAATATTTATTTTACCTGTGATATATGAAATTCACTTCCTTTATTTTAGTTTCTTAGGTAGACTTGGGGACTAAAAGTCCAAACTGAAATATCACTGCCAAGTAAGTTCACTAAATCCAGCCACAGGTGATGGAGAAGGTTTTGACTGATTTGCATTTCTCTCTTGGCTTGGACCATGAAGTCTCTGATGAGGCAGCAAGGCAAAAAAGTTAAATCGTTCTCCCATCTTCTTAGGATTCATTAACATATCATATCCCTGAAGTAGCTGCTGCCTCAGTGATGGCTCAGCAGATTTACTTAAAAGAACCTGAAAGGAAAATAATTTCTTAGTAAAAAAACAGAAGAACTTCCAGCTATATGTAGTAATAATGTCTATTAGCTATTCAATAACGCAGTGTTTAAAATGTTATTTCTGCCCTGACCGGTTTGGCTCAGTGGATAGAGTGTCGGCCTGTGGACTGAGGGCCCCGGGTTCAATTCCCAGGTGATCTGATCTACACTGAAGGGTAAAAATGTCCTCAGAACAGTTTTAACATTCAGACTTATAAATGCAGTTGCGTTTTCTTCGTGAACATGAACACTACTTGAAAATCTTAATTCTACTTCCCGTGGAGATGCGTGAAACAAAGGCTGCTCTGCCCCAGGCCCCCTGGTTCAACTAAATCCTACGCTGCTGAAGCCTGGCTAACTACAAGAACATTTAGGCCGGGTGACTTTCTGTTTGTTGGAAAGACTGCGAATTTACAATATTTAATAATACGTAAGTAGACCATTACCTTTAGCCGGACATCAATGCCCATGTTTTTTAAAAACGCGTGTTGCTTTATTGGGCCCAGAGAAGCCACTGTTCCCTGTGCCATTCTGCGCAAATAGCTGAAGTCCACGTCGGCTGTTAGGTCGGCTGTTCCTGGGGCAATTAAGACATCATGAAGCTTGTGGCCACAAAACCCCTTGAACATAATTTTTAAAATGATAAGTTTCTGTCCTTTTATGCTATTATCAAGATTAAAGACATGCTATTTTAATACATTTTATATAACAACCATTGAAAATATGGCTTACACCCGTGGTTTACACACTGTTGACGCAGTAGCACCATTTTCTATGTGGAAAACCCAATATAAAGCACAGTGTTGGAGTGCCTGAAGTTGGTGCTATCCTTCACAGTTAGCATTTTCATGCCTGCCCACGAATAGGAGATCTCATTAATCCTCTGGATGAATCCACATTACCACAACCTAGATGGTGTTTCACAAAGTCTAACCACCAACCAGGTGCCTCAAAACCACCTGCGAATATGGTACTAGACTCTATCCAGACCTAGTGAATCAGAACCCTGGAGGTAAGGCTAGGAAATCAGCATTTCTAATACACTATCTAGGTTTTTATTAGATGCAATAAAGTTAAAAATTGAGAACCCAAGACTTAGAAAATGACAAATAACATCTAAAATATATTTTAATTAAAGTAAATTAAACATAACTGATCATATTCAAAGAATTTAAGAACGGATGTTTAGAGAGAATAAAAAAAATACATCTAGAGGGAAAAAAAAATATTGCAAATCTTATAGGAAAAGTTTGAATGATTACAGTAGCTAGATCAAATCTGCAAAGTACCACCAAATTATTTCTTTAAGTGAAGGAGGGGTAGGATATTAAAAACACTTCAGGCAAAATTTTCCATTTGTATATTTAGGTGCTTACTAGGGTCTATGCAGACCTAGGTTCTGCAACTTAAGGAAGAATGTGGACAATTCACACCCTGTTCAAAGGAGAGTTTGACAGTGGAGTTAGGCTTAGGAATAAGGTCTACAGTTAAGAGTAATTATAGTGTGAATTAATATTAACTATAAAATAATGTAATACAACATTGTGAAGCACTATAGAAACCAAAGATAAAGACCTTAAATGAGCTTCAAAACTAACAATTGATAACTAAGTAAATCATGCCAATTACATTCAGACAAGTCATGTGACTGAATGATACATACTCTGAAGGTATCTGTCTTAGTCCCGTCATGACCGTAGTCAGCAATCAGGGCAGCACCTCCGGTCAGAGCGATGCGCTGAGAAAGTTCCTGAACAATAACACCGGCCTCGGGACACACTTCCACATGATCCCTGGTCTCATCGTGCTGGTAAGGAACAGTTTAAAGAATACGCATCCAGTCAAGAGACAATACTGTCAACATTTGACAGGTCAACGGAGAAGGTACGAGACAAGTGCTTATGAACTCTATCTGTGATTGCACAATAGTGACGGTCACACAGCTGAGAAATGATTTTAACCCGTTCTCCCGACTAGAGCCTCCGCACTGCTCACTGTTAATAAAAAGCACCTCACTTGTTACAAGCAACTATTTCCCCCTAGACAGGAACTCTAAAATAGTAACTCGAAAATAAGACTTGGATGGTAACAAACTAAGAAGAAAAATAAACGTATTCCTACTTGTATGAAGGCTTCTGCTGGGGTGGCACACGGCGCCAGAACAAACCTCAGTTTATCAGAAACTTGTGGGTCAATATCAATGAGCACTTCTCGCCATCCGTGTGAGGTTTTCTAAACACAAAATAATGCATGAAAACAAATTGTTGCAAGTATGTTCTCAAAACTGTCACCAGCAAAAAGTACAATTGGTTTTCTCCTCTTACCATGTATACATAGATATTTACAGACAACTTTACCATTTAAAATTATTTCAAGGCTTTACTTCTTCTAAATGATGAGCAGGCTAATGGACACAAATTATTAATGTTGTCTAGGTAAGAGGTGGATTTGTGGGAGGTGAAATAAGCAGCCTGGAAAGTGCTCCAAAATGAAAGAGACTTAGGAACACCAATCAGAAGCATCTGCTAATAAATGGCTATATAATAGACTCTTAGCCTTAGAAGTTATCAGCGCACACACACTACTACCAAATCTTAAATCTTTTCATAGGAAGAATAAAGATAAATTCTAATCTTTGAAATTTAAAAATATTTGTTAAAAGTAATCTTTACTGTACTGTAGCCCTTTAGCATCCTACATTCTCATGTATCTTTATCTCAGGAGAATTAAGAATTCTTTAATAATTATCCTACGAGAAATAAGAATTCTACTTAATATTTCATTTTTGCTTTTCAATTATTTATGTTCATGAGAAATTCCAATATCGTTAACTTCAAGTAATGTTTATATTAATATAAACCGCAAATAATTAAATACCGCAAATATGTATTAATTAAATACCGCAATATGTATTCTTACAACACAAGGCTCTTTGGTATTCAATCATAAACATGTCGTTTTTTTCCATCATACCTGGAACTTGTGCACAGGAAGGACGTCAAAAAATTCATGTGCAACATAAAAGCTGTACTCTATTTAAAAGTGGAAGAAGGAAAAAAATGTGTAAGCATTTTTAAGATAACGAACTGCTTCTTCTAAACATTAACAAAAAAAATGCCTAATTCTTTCACTACCGTGAGGGGTTGTGATCGAAATTCTCTCATTAGTCTATGGAAAATCATTACCTTTTGGAACATCCTGTAGATCTCGGTACCAGGAAATTGGAATCCCAGACGTAGTAACACCTCTCATGTATACTGGGGATCCATCACTTCGCTCTAATGGGGCCTTCCCTTCAGTCAGAGTTAATGCTTGAATCTCACTTAATTGTTGGCTCACCTCTACTAGATGTATGGAAATGTCACAGTTTTTCAGCACAGATCCAAGCTGACTAAACACCTAAATAAAAAAAGAAGAAAAATTGGCAAAATACAATGTGCTGAGTTTCAGTTTTCTAACCACTGACCTCAATAATATGCTCATTACAGTACAATACTTGGTTCCAGAAAAATTTGTTCCTTACATAGTCACTCTCCAGCAGTCTATAAGAATCATAGCCTATTAGAGTTATTAAACATAGTGTATATAAAAAAGGAACAGCCTGAACCAGTTTGGCTCAGTGGATAGAGCGTCGGCCTGCGGACTGAAGGGTCCCAGGTTTGACTCCCATCAAGGGCCTGTACCTTGGTTGCAGGCACATCCCCAGTAGAGTGTGTGCAGGAGGCAGCTGATGTTTCTCTCTCATCAATTTTTAAAAAAATATATTTTATTGATTTTTTACAGAGAGGAAGGGAGAGAGAGAGAGAAAGAGAGTCAGAAACATCGATGAGAGTCATCAATCAGCTGCCTCTTGCACACCCCCTACTGGGGACATGCCCGCAACCAAGGTCCATTCCTCTGACCAGAATCGAACCTGGAACCCTTGAGTCCAAAGGCTGATGCTCTATCCACTGAGCCAAACCGGTCAGGGCTGTCTCATCAATTTAAACTACTTTTTCCTGACTACCAATGAGTCTGAGCATCTTTTTATTAGTATTGGCCATTTCGGTTTTCTGTTTCACGCTGGGCCTGTTCACATCTTCCACCTGGTTTTTCTACTGGGTTATCTTTCACTTTATTAACTTAGAAGACTACTAGTTATTTGTTGGTTATGTGGTTGCAAATAACTTCTCTAACATAGTTTGTCTCACCACTCCCTTTATGGTGTCTTTGAAGAACAAAAACTTTCTAGTTTATTTAAAGAACACAAAGTTTTTAATTTTGATGTAGTGGAAATTATTAACATTTTCCTCTTAAGGGTTATGTTGATATATAATTTAAAAACTTTTCTCCTACTCAGAAGACAAACATGATCTCCCATAATATCTTCTAAGTGTTATATATTTGTAGCTTTCACATTCGATCCCACCCCCATATTTTAACCATAAAACAGACAATAACTAATCACTCACTGTATTATTCTGTCATCTTTTAGTTAAGAAATATGAGATTAGGGAATAGGAGGACTGAAAGCCTAGAAAATCAACAAAGTTTGCCAACTCAGTCAAAAGTAGTAAGAATCACATACATGAGACTTTAAGACACTCTTTTGTACCTACCCTCAAAATATCTCCTGCGAGGGTACCCCGACCTGGACCCAGTTCCACCAGCTGGAAAGCTGCACTTTTCCCAGTGGCCATCCATTCGCTAATAAACCATATCCCTAGCAGCTGTGACAAGAAAAAACTTGCATTACAGTACTATAAAGTATCAAAGTATACCACAATATAAAACTCCATGCAAATACATACTTTATGCCAGAAAGCAAAATGTTTGCAAACAATCATATGTATTTAATATGTCCACATACTGGCACACACAGGAAGATTCACTGGGACTATGTTACAGCACATTGTATCATAGTTAGGAAGCTTTAATAACTGGAGAAGCTTTAATAACTGGAGAAAATAGTTCAAAGTTACCCTCCACTACGAAAGGTCCCATGGACACAGATAAGACTATCAAAGAAAGGTACTAGTATTTGAAAGCAAATAGACATATGAAATATAATTATGTATATAACTATGCCAGTTCTTCATATAATTTTGATAATTACATAGCTCTTACCCATAAGCAATATTTTTTAATACCTGAATTCTACTTTCTCTTGTATATTACTTCTTAGTTCTAAATTGATCAAAGGTTATTATATGGAAATAAATAAACTAGAATTCCTGAAAAGAATCCAAAGTTTCTTAAAGGAAGACTTCTACTGAAACTCTGGCCAAATTATAGTTGGGGGCGTTAGAGCTTTGATTCCAGTAATTCCTTCTGGGATACAGTCTACCTCTATGCTCACCCTTGCTTTTGTCTCTCTTCCTTTTCCCATTCTCGTTTCATCTGGTTCACCTCTTTACCTCCATCTCTTTTCCTTCTCTTTACTTCTGCCCCCCTTATCTCTTCATTCCCTCTTCTACGTGAAGTATAAACTTTTCATTGGCCATTATACCATTTCCTTTCCTCTGTTACCTTTCTATTCCCTCAATACTTACTACTAAAAAACTACAACTTTTGAGGAATCAAAAAAAAAAACAAACCTGGAAAACACTATTATATAGAATAAGGCAATTTGATCTATTTTCAAATGTGTGTGATATTAGTTTCTTTTATAGTTTAGAGTGATATTACCTCCCCAAAGATCTGGCTTATTTCAGGTGAAGTGATGAAATCTCCTTTTTCTCCCAGCATATCACGGTGCACATAATATCCCTACGTAAAAAGAGAAAATGGAAAAAAACAATTTTCGAATAAGGCTATTTTTAAGACACCCCTCCAAAATCAGACATAATGTATACAATGAAATAAACAATTACATAGTAAGAAAGTTCTCTCTTCTAAATAATCAAGACAATCACAATATCTTTACCCAAATTTTAGAAAGTGACAGTCATTTTGCAGAACTGGTAGAAAAGCAGAACGTTCCACCCTCCTTCTCTCTCCCTGCTCCTAAACCCTGCCTATCCTTCCAGCCTCCTCCCCAAAATCCTCACACTTTCTGCTGGCTCCATGAAATGTTCATTTTGGGAACATTCATCAGTCCTTCCTTCATAAGCAAGCATTTCGGGAGTATTTTCGGTGTTATGAACCCCTGTTAGTATAATGAGGCTGGTGGACCCTTTCAGAGAATGTTTTTAAATGCACAGGACATAAAACACGTAGGGCCGTGGTCAGCAAACTGCGGCTCTTTGGCCCCTTGAGTGTGCCTCTTCCACAAAATACCACGGTCTGGTCAAGTCTATTGAAGAAGTGGCGTTAGAAGAAGTTTATGTTTAAAAAATTTGGCTCTCAAAAGAAATTTCAATGGTTGTACTGTTGATATTAGGCTCTTTTGACTAATTAATGAGTTTGCTGACTTCTGACATAGGGTTACCAAAGAAAGTAAATAAAAAGGACTTATCAAATATTTAAAAATAACTTGTGTGCTATAGTAATATATGTGCTTCTTGATAAAAGTATTAAAAAAATAAAAAACCAATATCAAGCCTAATAAGTTCTGAAGCACAGATGAGCAAATGTTTTGAGATCACTCTGTTTGATGTGACACTATCAGCAATGTGCACTGATGCTAATGAAAGTCACAGGTGTTACTGATGCTACTGGTTGTTGCCTATGCTCCTAGTCAGAAAATGCGGGCACATCCCCAGTGGGGGGTGTGCAGGAGGCAGCTGGTTCATGTTCCTCTCTCATCAATGTTTCTGGCTCTCTATCCCTCTCCCTGCCTCTCTGTAAAAAAAAATCAACAAAAATACATATTTTTTAACAACGCTAAATTTCAGTTAGAAGTGAACTCACATAACTGCCTTGCCTAACCCCCTGGACAGCGGCCACCCCACATCCAACAACAGGCCAAATGAACCCCAGAATCCCACAGATCTCATATTTCCACTCAGCAAAAAGGTGGAACACTCCAAAACAAAAGGACTACTAGCTTTCACCAACTGGCTTAGCGGAGCAGACAGGAAAAGCAGGCCAGAGAGCTGGGACAATGCTTCATCTTAGAACAGCAAAGCCCCAGACCTTCCATTCTCAGGGAGGAAAAATCCAGAACATGCTCTATCTCCAGTCGCCGATGTCCACTCAGAGTCCTGTAAACGTCACATATCGGGCTGAACTCTCTTTCCCTACCCTTCCGCATTCCCTTTTCCCAGAGAAGTGACTCCGCCATCTACCATCAGCCCAGACAGAAGAGTCACCCATCCCTTATCTCATAAACCCAATGGGTTACACCGTCTCCTGAATGTAACCTCTGGAATTGGGCCCCCGTATAATGGCACTGCCGCTCACCGGCTCCCGCCCTGACCAGCTACCATCCATGCAGCGGCCCTCAGGTCCCGGGCGGCTCTTTCCCCTGGAAGGGACCCCGGCGGTGGGGACGGAAGACGCTGGGGCTCCGGCCTATGCGCACCCCCTCCAGGCTCACACCTCGCATATCCGCTAGGGCGGGCCTGCTCCTCCGGCTTCCCCGACCCACATACCTTGGCTGGGTTGGTCAGGACCTCCTTCATGTACTCGGCCACAGTGATGGGGCCGGTGGACTTGATTTTGTACACGAGATGCTGCAGCATCGGCGTCACCGGGTGGTTTTCCACCGGCTCTTTCCCGGAGCTGAAGTGTCTTCCTCTCCAAAGGCAGGGGATGGCTGCGAAACACACATTATTACACGGGGCCCAGGAAAAAAATAAAAATAAAAAATAAAAATAAATAAAAATAAAAATTATATATATATATATATATATATATATATATATATATATATATATATATATATCTTAGTATTTACACGTGCACAGCGGCCTGAGTGCTTTCCAAGTGGCTCTGTTAGCCGAAGCCGGTTTGGCTCAGTGGATAGAGCATCGGCCTGCGGACTGAAGGGTCCCGGGTTCGATTCCGGTCAAGGGCATGGACCTTGGTTGCGGACACATCCCCGGTAGGGGGTGTGCAAGAGGCAGCTGATCGATGACTCTCTCTCATCGATGTTTCTAACTCTCTATCCCTCTCTCTTCCTCTCTGTAAAAAAAAAGCACTAAAGCATACTTAAAAACTAAATAAAGTAAATAAAAATAAACAAGGACCATGAAAAAGATCTTAATATTTATACGTGCACAGCGGCCTGAGCGCTTTCAAAGTGCCTCCGTGACCCCCCTCACCGCGCCCGAGGCGGAGAAAGAGGGGTCCCGTCCGCTGCACGCACAGCGGGCGCAGGAACGCACGGTGCCCGGTGCCCAGGACCCCACCGGCGGCGGCTGGACTCCCGTGCCGCCCGGAGCGCCCCCGGCGGCGCCCGCAACCGCGCAGAGCACCCCCTTCCCCCCGCCGAGTCCCAGGGCAACCGGGGCTCGCGCGGAGCCACACTCACCAGCTCGCGCTGCCCCGCGCAGCGCCCTGGCGCCGGCGCGGGCGAGGACCATCCTGCCGATCGCGCCCTGCAGCCGCGAGCCGCCCGGGGGAGTCGGGATCCCGACCACTTCCGGGAGAGAACGCGGTCCCGCCGGAAGTGCGTCACCGGGAAACCGGAAGGAGCCCCGTCACAGGCCGCGCGTGCTTCGCTAAACCATGGCGGCCGCCAAGAAATCTCTGGAGTTCCACGCCGAGCGGCCCTGGGGCGCTGACGGGAGGCTGGAAGATTCGGACGAGGACGACGAGGACGATAACGAAGCCGAGGATGGGTTCTCCATGGCGGAAGTGCTGCGGCTTGGAGGCACCAAGGTGGTGGGCCCGGACCTCCCGGAGGCGGGAGCGGAGTGGGGCGCGGGGAGCGGGCCCGCGCGTGGCCCCGGGGCTGCGGGGCGGGAGGGCGTCCCGGACCCGGACCCGGACCCCCGCTTCGGGGAGGGCTCTGTGCGCTTCCGGCGCCGCTTCTTTACAAGGAAAAAGGCGAAGTTGGCGTGTTGATGCCGTCGCCTCAGAATGCAGGCGACCCTCCCACGTTATTGGCGAGACAGGACGGCGCCCCGTGGGGTCCGGAGGCGGCCTTGCTGGTCCTGACCCCGGGGTGCGGGAGGTGTGGGGTCTCCCCGAGCACCGGCACGCGCTCGCTGCGCACTGGGGAGCTCCGCGCGTCCTTGGCGTTCGCATCCCGACGGAGGGAAGGGGACCGCCTCCAGGCTTTTGGATACAGAGTATGTGAGACGCTGCAAAGTGCTGCGGGGGAAAATAAAGCCGGGAAGGGGGACGGTTTTAAATCCCTGAGATGTATGAGCAAGAACCTGAATTCCAGGAGGAAAGGACTGAGCCATGCGTCCTGAATAACGGAAATGTCAGTGTAGCGGGGGCAGAGAGAAGTAAGGGGAGAGCAGTAAGAAATGAGGTCAGAGGGGTAAGGGGGGTAGGCTTTTACCCTGAGTGTGACGAAACCACTGGACAGTTTGGCTTATTTTCTGTCAAAGTGAAAGGGTGGGATAGAGGCAGGAGAAATGCACCTTACAGGAGCAGATGCACCGTTTGCTCTTTGCTCGGTTGTATTTGGTTTTTAAGTATGTCACAGATGCACGTGCTACAGAAGGGTTATTTTGTTCTGTTTCTTTAAGGAAGGGATGCACGGTGAAGTCTTTTTCCCACTTCTAGCTCCAGTCATGCAATTTACCTTCCAGGAAGCAATATTTTTATAATTCTTGTTTGTATCTTCCGAGGAAATATTATAGATGTGCATGTACTTTTTTTTTTTTTTTACATAAAAGGCACTGTATTATATCTATATATAATATTCTGTATCCTTTTTTTTTTTTTTTTTTTTTTTTTTTTTTACTATCTATGAGATCCTTCCATATCAGGAAGTAAAGTTCTGTGTCATTTAATGCCCGCATAAATCATTGTGTCTGTTTTCATTTTCTGTCAGTCATTTATTGTGGATACTTATGTTGTCAATATTTCACTGTTTTAAATAGTGCTTCAGTATGTAACCATGAATACCTATCTATTTCCATATGTGTAAGTTTCGTGTAATCAAAATTTGTGGAGACAGCACTGCTGGGTCAAAGGATGTGTGCTCCTATGTGTTTTGATTGAAGGTGGCACATTGCCCTTCTTTGAGGTTGTGCCAGCTTATACTCCCATCAGCCATGTAGGAAAGTGACCCCCCCCTTTCCCTAACAACACCTGTCATGGTTTTATCTTTGCTCTGACAGATTAAAAAATGGATGCATTATTGTGTTTTTAATTTGAATTTCTCTAAGTGTTAGTGAGGTTGAGCATCTTTTCATATTTTAAAAGAACCACTCCCCTCCTCCCCCGTGAACTGTTTGTTTAAATCCTTTGCACGTGTTTCTATTGGATTAGTTGTTACTTCCATAACTGATGTGCATCAACTTCTATATTAATTATTGAGCCCAGTTGCTGTGACATGAGTTGCCAGTGTTTTATCCAGTTTATATTTTGTCTTCTCTGTGTGAGAGAATAACTTTACCCACTTGTTTCTTTATGGGCCCTAATGTCAAATTTGGAAAGGTTTTTCCTACTCTGGAAATTTTTTTAAATTATGTTGTGGGTTTTTTTCTAATTCTTGTTTCTATTTTTTATGTTTAAATCTTTGCTCTGTCAAGTATTTTACTTTGGTGAGGATTGAGAGCCCAGGCAATACCATGACAACTTTGATTTCAAAGATACAAGTTCACATTATCTTTTGAAACTTTAACTAAACTGTTGGACTTATAATTTATTTTTAAATTTATGTTTTTATGCAGCAAGATTACCTTATGCTCGCTGCTTTGGATGAGAATGAGGAAATTGTGGATGGAGGCAAAAAAGGAGCAATTGATGACCTTCAGCAAGGCGAATTGGAAGCATTTATTCAAAATCTGAGCTTGGCCAAGTATGCAAAATCTTTCATCATCGCAGAAGATGAACCACCCAACAAAGAAGATACCAACAAAAAAGCAAGCATAACCAAAGTAGATAATAAAAATAAAAAGCAAAATGCAGCAGAAAATGAAAGGACATCAATCAGTAAGGTGAAAAATAAGCAGAGACCAGAACAACATTCTGATGAGAACAGTAGCCCTGTACCAAAAACAAAGAAGGACAAACAACAGGACATCTTTGAATTCGTTGAGAGACCGGCACTGTTACTGAAGCCTGGAGGCAAATGGTACGACCTGGAGTACAGCAATGAGTATTCTTTGGAGCCCCAGCCTCGGGAGGTTGTGTCGAAGTACAAAACTTTGGCTCAGAAGTTGTATGAGCATGAAATTAATGTATTCAAAACTAAGACGAATCACCAAAAGGGAGCCTCTTCGACCTGGATGAAGGCCATTGTGTCCTCGGGGACCCTGGGCGACAGGATGGCAGCTATGATTCTTCTCATTCAGGATGATGCTGTCCACACGCTGCAGTTTGTAGAAACGCTGGTGAACCTTGTGAAAAAGAAGGGCAGCAAGCAGCAGTGCCTCATGGCTTTGGATACTTTCAAAGAATTACTCATCACAGACCTCTTGCCAGACAGCCGGAAACTGCGGGTCTTCAGCCAGCATCCTTTCGACAAACTGGAACAGTTGTCCAGCGGCAACAGGGACTCCAGAGACAGAAGGCTCATCTTGTGGTATTTTGAACACCAGCTGAAACACTTAGTGGCTGAATTTGTGCAGGTCTTGGAAACTTTAAGCCATGACTCATTAGTAGCCACCAAAACTCGAGCCCTTTCAGTGGCTCATGAGCTCCTTTGTAACAAACCTGAGGAAGAAAAAGCTCTTCTGGTGCAGGTGGTAAACAAACTGGGCGACCCTCAGAACAGAATAGCCACCAAGGCCTCCCATCTGTTAGAGACGTTGCTCTGTAAGCACCCCAACATGAAGGGCGTCGTGTGCGGGGAAGTGGAAAGGCTGCTCTTCCGCTCAAATATCAGCTCCAAAGCACAGTATTATGCAATTTGCTTTTTAAATCAAATGGTCCTCTCCCATGAAGAAAGTGAACTGGCGAACAAACTAATAACTCTTTATTTTTGTTTTTTTCGGTCTTGTATCAAGAAAAAAGATATTGAATCAAAAATGCTTAGTGCCCTTTTGACAGGAGTGAACAGAGCCTACCCTTACGCCCAGGCGGGTGATGACAAAGTGAGGGAGCAGGTGGATACGCTGTTTAAAGTGCTACACATTGTGAATTTTAATACCAGTGTGCAGGCTTTAATGTTGCTTTTCCAAGTAATGAATTCTCAGCAGACAATATCGAATCGATATTATGCAGCATTATACAGGTAAGTACACACCCTGCCAATATGTGAATGTGAGGAATAGGTAATCTTACAGTTCATGAAGGAGGCCCCCCCCCAAAAAAAAAAAAAAAAAAAAAAAAAAAGGAAAGGAAAGACTTAACTGGATTGTAACGAATAGAATAGCAACTCCCTACTCAGTAACTTGGAGTAAGTTCATCTTTGTTTTTCTGTTGGACAACTATGTTACATACTTTGAAAACATTGTTTATTATTTTTTATTTTGAAAAGTTAAAATACAAAAAAAATACACAAAGCATCTAATACATACCACTGATATCTCTTCAAAGTACTGATTCCATTTCCTTGGGCCATATACTCAGAAATGGGGATGCTGGTTCATGTGGTAGCTCTATTTTTAAGTTTTTGAGGACTCTCCATAATGACTGTCCCAATTGGTATTCCTACGAACAGTGTACAAAGGTTTCCTTTTCTCCATGTCCTCACCAAGGTTTGTTATCCCTTGTCTTTTCTATAATAGCCATCAAAACAGGTGTGGGTTTGTTTTGATTTGTATTTTTCTGGTGATCAATGATGTTGAGCAACTTTTCACATACATGTTGGCAATTTGTCTTCGGAAAAATGTTTATTCAGGTCCTTTGCCCACTATCAAGTTTTTTGTAGGGTGTTTTTTTTGTTATTGTGTTTTTTGTTTTGTTTTTGCTATTGAATTCTATGAGGTTCCTTATGTATTTTATATATTAACCCTTTATTAGGTTAATGGTTTACAAATATTTTCTCCCATTCCATAGGTTGTCTTTTTATTTTGTTGATTATTTCCTTTAGTTCCACTTACTTTGCTTTTTTTGCTTGTGGTTAGATTATTATGTGTTACTTCAAGTGGCAATAGTAAAATAACGGTTGGAAATTATACAGGAGCAGATTTCAGCTATTGGTAAAGAAGAGATTTTTCTGATAAAATTTTGTCCAAAATTAGGTTAGGTTCCTAGTGAGAGAGTAAATAATCCACAATTCCTAGATATGTTTCATAGCCATTTGCTATGGAATGAACCATTTATTCATTCAATAAATATCAAGCACTTACTGTAAGTGCCAGGTACTGAGGTTACAACAATGAATAACACAGGCCTACTCCCTGTTCATTGGACTTTGGAGGGAAAAAGAGAAAATGGTAACAAAGTGTATTAAACTATGAAGAAGATAAATATGGGACTGACAAAGAAAATAATAGCCTTAACCGGTTTGGCT